AAGGAATTTCCAGAGTTAGAAGGGAATTTCGTTTTGGGTGTTGTTTTTAAACAAAAAAGAAACGACGCCGGGAGGTCTGGGCCAGGAAGGAAAAAGGAGTTAGAAAGGAATTTAATAAGGAATTTCAAGAGTTAGAAAGGAATTTCGTTAGAAGGAGTTTAAACAAAACAAAAAAAAAACAACACCAACAACGAAATTCCTTTCTAACTCTTGAAATGCGTTATTTAATTCCTTTCTAACTCCTTTTTTTCCTTCCTGGCCCAACCCCCCCGGCGCCGTAACAAAACAAAACAAAAAAAACAACCTCAAAAAACGAATTTCCTTTCTAACTCTTGAAATTCCTTATTAAATTCCTTTCTAACTCCTTTTTTTCCTTCCTGGCCCAGACCTCTCGGCGTCGAAAAAAAAACAAAACAAAAAACAACCACAAAAAACAAAATGCTTTTCTAACTCTTGAAATTCCTTATTAAATTCCTTTCTGACTCCTTTTTCCTTCCTGGCCCAGACCTCTCGGCGTCGTTAAAAAAAAAAAAAAAAAAAAAAACCGAAACACGAAATTCCTAACTCTTGAAATTCCTTATTAAATTCCTTTCTAACTCCCTTTTTCCTTCCTGGCCCAGACCTCTCGGCGTCGTAAAAAAAACAGACCCCCGAAAAAAAACAACCAAAAAAACAAAATTCCTTTCTAACTCTTGAAATTCCTTATTAAATTCCGTTCTAACTCCCTTTTCCTTCCTGGCCCAGACCTCTCGGCGTCGTAAAAAACAAAACAAAAAACAGACCCCAAAAAAACGAAATTCCTTTCTAACCCTTGAAATTCCGTATTAAATTCCTTTCCAACTCCTTTTTCCTTCCTGGCCCAGACCTCTCGGCGTCGTAAAAAACAGAACAAAAAAACAACCCCCAAAAAAAACAAAATCCTTTCTAACTCTTGAAATTCCTTATTGAATTCCTTTCTAACTCCTTTTTCCTTCCTGGCCCAGACCTCTCGGCGTCGTAAATAAAAAACAAAACAAAAAAAACAACACAGAAAAAAAATTCCTTTCTAACCCTTGAAATTCCTAATTAAATTCCTTTCTAACTCCTTTTTCCGTCCTGGCCCAAACCTCTCGGCGTCGTAAAAAAAAACGAAACGAAAAACAACCCCAAAAAACGAAATTCCTTTCTAACTCTTGAAATTCCTTATTAAATCCCTTTCTAACTCATTTTTCCTTCCTGGCCCAGACCTCTCGGCGTCTTAAAAAAGCAAAACAAAACAAAAACAACCCCCAAAACGAAATTCCTTGCTTGCTAACTCTTGAATTTCCTTATCAAATTCCTTTCTAACTCGTTTTTTCCTTCCTGGCTCAGACCTCTCGGCGTCGTAAAAAAAAACCAAAACAACCCAAAAAACAAAATTCCTTTCTAACTCTTGAATTTCCTTATCGAATTCCTTTCTAACTCCTTTTTCCCTTCCTGGCCCTGGCTTCCTCGGGCAATTCGGACTCGATTGTCTTTGAGGTTCAGAACTATCTCTGGTATTCAAATTCCTTTCTAACTCAGGAAATTCCTTATCGAATTCCTTTCTAACTTCCCAACTCAATAGAAATGCATAACCAAAATGCTCTTGGCAATATTTCGAGCCTACATTATTAATTCCCGACACAATTATTGATGTAATTGCATACAGTGCGCACTACAGAAATAATTCCGAAACCAATTAAAGCTGTACTGTAACCAAAAAAATCAATGGTATCCAAATGTCTTTTCAAGATGCTGCTGTCCGCGGTGGGGGCAGGGGCCAGTGAAAAAACAATAGGTGAAACATCGCGTGGTGATACTGGTAGGCGTGCCTGACCCGTATGAGGTGGAACATGTCTTTTCCACACCTGTGGCGCAACGCTTGACAAGGAAGGGTGACAACCTGTCCCATAGTCGGGGTTGGAGTCGGAATTCGGATGCGAGATTGCGCTGGTGAGGGGAGTAAGGTTGCGGATGAAATTGGAACCCATCGCCGTCCGCGGTGGAACAATTGTCGTCGGAGATGCTGGGTTGGAGCCTGGTCGACCCTCTTGTGCAAGTTGTGTGAAAGTTGGCGGCTCGTCGAGTGCACGGTGATGTACATGTCCTGCGAGACCTGTCAAAATCAAAGCTCCTGCACGGCTCCTAAGGGATGTAATAAGTCCTGCGGGTAGGTATCCGTCAACATATGATTGTATGTCCTTCCCATCTTCCCTCGATTTTGCCCATGGGTCCGGAGCCGGAGTCGGAAACAAAATAGACGCTGTAGGGGTCAATCTTGTGCTGGTACGTTGTGTAGTTGTGTGCTGTTTGCGACGATCGTGGCGTCACTCGCTCTCTGAGACTGGATCGGGTTTTACTTTCTCCCGCCACTTCCGCATGGATTCATCCACGCCTGCTTCCACCAACTTCCTGGTCTTAGTCGTGTGCCATTTCCCATTGCCGTCGTGCCACGCAATCTTTCTTCCCCCCCCCCGTCCCATCTTTGATCACAACCATCCCCTTCGACCAAACGATCTTTATGTCTGTATGTTTGTGCTGAGGGTGTTTGTCCAAATGGTATTTTGTATAACCCAATCGTTTTTCTCGTTCCCTGTCCTCCTTGGTTAGGTTGTTCCGGAAGAAGATGTCCCCCAGCGCGTTCTCATCTGCATCGAGCGTGTCCCGTACATTCTTCCAGAATTTGACGTTCGACTGCATGGAGGGGAACTCGATGACACCATACCTCGTCGAGCCGGTTGGCAGCACTGCTGCGTCCGATTGATTGCTCAAGAGCTGTTGTAGCGTCTTTTCCAGCTCTGTAACTACCATTTCTGCAGTAGCATTCCCATCACAACCAAAGGCAACCACCTGTTTAATACGCACCTCCTTCTCTGTATCTGCCTTGTTTCCTCCTCCCGGGTTCGCCCATTTTTGCGCGCTGCTCCTGGAGGACTCGTTCATGGTGTTTCTCACGGTTCGAAGTTTGTTGTCAATGATCTCCTCGATTTCGGTTTTGGTCAAAAAACATCTCCTCAAGATCGTTCCGAATACCCTGCACGTCCATCTCTACATCCTCCATCTTCTCCTGAACCTCCTCCGCTGCCCTCCTTGCGTCCTGTGCCTCAATCCTCGCCTGGTCGATCATGTTTTTGACTCCGTTCAGGTCAGTCGTTATGCCGTCGATTTGTTTCGATATGCGGGCGTCAAAATCTTTGAACCACTGTGGAGGAGCCTCCGAAGCCACGATCTGGTCATTGGAACCCCCCGCTGATATTGCCATTCCTTCATTTTCCTCCTCCTCTTTCTTTTTCTTCTGTTTAACTGGCGTGGACCCGGTATGGCCTGCGGAGCGTTTGTCTTTATCTGTCATGCCTGCCCAAAGCGGTGCAACAAGCTGTGTAGAGATGGTGAATAGGATATCGGAGTGGTAGATTTCGTAGAATTGGAAGCGTATAGCTTGTATGCCTTGATGCCTTGATGCCTTGAGCCAAACGACCTCGGGCCAAAACAGGGCGGGCGCAAGCCTGGAAAATGATGGCCGCGGCGCCCTCTCGAGAACCCAAACCGGACAATTCACTTATGGACGTGTCAGGGTGGGGGTTCTGTTCACCCCCGAAGACCGGCCGCAGCCTCTGCGGGCATGCGTCACGCCTGGGGCCCTTTGGGGCGCGGGCGTCGTTCTGCCCCTGTGGACTGCGGCGCCAAGAGCTGTAAGACGAAGCCAGGGCGAGGATGAATTCGGGTGAGGACAAACCGAGAGTCTCTGAGATCTGGCGGCTCTGGAGGATGTCTCGGGCGCCGCGGCCTCCTCAGAGCGTTCGGGGACGCTCTGAGAGCGTTCCCGAACGCTCTGGAACGGATTTTTTCTCGTCCTAGCCCCCGTCGCCATCGTCATCCATGTCGCAGCCAAAGTTGAGGAGGTCGTCGTCGTCGTCGGGCGGGAGGTGTGCGGGGGAGTCGGGGGGGCACCCCCAAGAAGGCCCCCCCGTGCGGTCTTGGTGAGGGCCCATCCGCCTGAGTTCCGCCTCCGTGTGCCCCGCTCGGCGGTGGGGCGGCGAAAACGTGTGATGGCGCTGGCCGTAGGCAACACTTGATACACCGTGGTGCACCAGCCCGAAAAGCTTGCGATGCTTGGCCGCCTCGACGGCGTCGGCGACGTGCAGAGCGACAGCCGTAGTGGCAAACGCGTCGGCGTGTCGGTGGAAGCACTCGGCCGTGGCCATGGCGCTGCCGTTGGCGACTCCTTCCGCTCCGAAGTGGCTCGTAACCTTCCCACGCGGAACGAGTCGGTTTCGGCCTGGCGGGCGCGCGCAAGGCATCAGTCTGCCATGAACACAAAAACCGAAGATTCCCCCTTCTCCTTGAGCACCTCCTCGTTCCAACTTATCGTCCTCCTCCTGCTCCTCTGCCTACTCCTCCTCTTCCTCCTCCTCCTACCCCTCCCTCCTGGCAGCTCGGGCATTGGATTGGCTCTGAGGACTTGGTATAAGCAATCCTTGGCTTCATGCCGTAGCTCATCAGCAACTACTTGTGATTTCTTCTGGTGGGCAGTGGACCCGCGCATGGCGAGCATCGACGCTCCAGGGGCGCCACTCGGGGACGGAGGGGGGGAGGGAAGGTGAAGAGAGAGGGAAGGAGATGGGAGGGAGGGCGTTCGAAGGGCGCTACTCGGGGACGGAGGAGGGGAGGAACGGGGAAGAGAGAGGGAAGGAGATGGGGGTGAGGGCGAGGAGGGAGGAGGAGGAGGAGGAGGAGGAGGAGGAGGAGGAGGAGAAGGAGAAGGAGGAGGAGGAGGAGGAGGAGGAGGAGGAGGAGGACGAGGAGGAGAGGGAGGAGGAGATGGAGGAGGAGCAGGAGGAGGAGGAGGAGGAGGAGAAGAGGGAGGAGGAGAAGAGGGAGGAGGAGAAGGAGGAGCAGCAGGAGGAGGAGGAGGGTGAAGAGAGTGGGAAGAATCTGGGGGGGAGGGTGAGGAGAGAGGGAGGGCCAGGCGAAGAGGCAGAGAACGAGGCGGCCGACGCCTCGCTGAGGCACTCGATGGCCGCGCCGCTGAGGCGGTGGTGCAGCAGCAGCGGGTACGACATCTGGGCGCCACGGCGCGCGTCGACGGGGCGGCGGCTTTGAACGCCCAGCATGGGTACAGTTATCAAGTACAGTAAGGGATGCGGAACCCTAAATAAGGAACGAGGCCCCTTCTTTCCACAGTTTAAACTTTGATTTCCAATCGAAAACACAAGGAAAACCTAGGCAAGCTGTGAAATACTTGAGGAACACGGAGCCCCTCCCCAACGAAAAGGGTTCCTTCTTCAGGGCCCCGACTGTAAGGATGCAAGGGCCTTGGACGCCCATTTCGAAGATTTTCGAGCGGGGCGCGGCCAACGAAGGTGGCCAAGGCTGGACCGAGGAAGCAAGGACGCAAGGGTACCCTTGGGAACGCATCCCATCCTTACTATGCGGGTTGACCGCACGGAAAACATGGGCACAATGCCCAACAACAAATGATGTCCCAAACCGACAACGGCCGCTGCTGGGCAGGCGGCCTGCTGACTTCAAAGAGCAACGTCCGCGGCGGCGCTGACAGCGATTCTGGTTCAAAATGGACAGGAGTCACCCTCTCGGCACACACCCTGCGCTTCTCCAGCAGCTCCCCCGGAATCTGGAATGTCTTCTCCCTCGCATGTCCTCTGGATGCGCGAGGGGCTGTACCATCGGTGGTGTAGGTTCGAGCTGCACCTCGGGAAGACCAGCTTCGTCACGCAAAACTTCGTGTGCCACTGGAACTGCTGTTGGGCATCGTACCCGCTCTCTCCGTGCCCATCTCGATCGTCCCGAGCGGCGGTGCAGCGTGCGGTCCTCCCGAAATGCCCCGCTGAGCCCTTGGCGCTCCGGCTCGGGGGGCGCAGCCGCCCCCAGCGTGCTCGGCGTTTTCTCGCGCCCTCCCCCCTTCCTCCTCCTCCTCCTCCTCCCTATCCTTCTCCTCCTCCTCCTCCCCCTCCTCCTCCTCCTCCTCCTCCCTCCTCCTCCCTCGTCCTCTCCTCCCTCCTCCTCTTCCTCCTCCTCCTCCTCCTCCTCGTCCTCCTCCTCCCTCCTCCTCCTCCTCCTCCTGGGCCTCCTCTTGCTTCTCATCCTCCTTCGTCTCCGGAGATGAAGAGGTGCGCATGAAAAACACATGGATCTCCCGAAACGAATGCGACGAATTGTGCCTCTTGGGGGCCCTCTGGGGGGCCTCCTGGGCCGTCTGGAGGGCCTCTGCGGCCGTCTATCAGCCGTCGTGGGCCCGCTTGGGGCGCTCTTGGGCCAGTCTGGGAGTATCCTGGGGCGCCTCTTTTCTGCGGCAGGGAATGTGGGCTCGACCGCACCTCTGTATGCCAGAGCTGGTGACGGGCGCCAGCTTGCTGACCTGCTGGAACGAATCGCCAGGAGTGCGCTGACCTGTGCGGGTGGAGTGCCAGCACCCCCGAGCAGCCACGAAGAGGCCCCCAGAGGCCCCCAAGAAGCCCAACAGCGGCTCCAGGAGGCCCCCAAGCGGCCACCACGAGAAGCCTCCCACGAGATTCCAACGAACTTCGCAGTTGCTGCTTTGCACCCGCGACGCAGGCACGGTGGCGGGATGGGGCGGAGGCCATTCTATGTGTGTATGTATATAGACACGTAAACATTCATATGGAATCCGCACGGTCCTGGGAGGGGTGGGCAATTTGGCCCTCATCTGGGGAAATCAACAAGTACTGATACCGCCACTCCCTGGACCTCCAGGGGTGCGTTCTGACCAAGAAGGCGAATCCAACGGTGGCAGCGAGAACCTCCCAGAAGGCCGAAAGAAGGGAATACGGGCGACGGGTATCAGTAATTATGGGTGCCATTTCCTCCTCTGATCATCGGCGATGACCTGACGATCGGAAGCCGATGTATCGCCCTGCACCGTTCCCCCAGGGGGCCGCAGGCGACCCGAGGAGGAGGAGGAGGAGGAGGAGGAGGAGGAGGAGGAGGAGGTGGAGGAGGAGGGAGGAGGGAGGAGGAGGAGGAGGAGGAGGAGGAGGAGGAGGAGGAGGTGGAGGAGGAAAAGAAGGAGGAGGAGGAGGAGGAGGAGGACGGGTCGCCTAAGCCATTCGGCGAAACCCTCCACGTCGCCCCCCCGAGCCGACAATACCCCCCCCCTTGGGCGCAGCGCCCCGAGGCCGGCGCACCCAGCGCCCCTTGTGGAACCACCGCAGCTGGCCCTCCCACTCCTCGGAGGTCCTCGCGTAGCCTCGGCCGGCGGGGGCGGGGCTGGAGAGCATCGTCTTGGGGGTAGGAAGCGGGTGTGGTGTGAAGGGGCGTGGTGCCAATGCTGCATCTGGCGAGGCTGTGTATCGTAGGTGGCATCGCCATTTCCACGATTGGCACCACACCCCTTTCTGCCACACTTTTTTTTTGACCTCCAGGCATCGGCAGGCGGCGATCGGCAGCATCGGCTACACGCAAGAGTGACCCTAGGCAAGAGTGACCTTTCGTGCGCGGACTAACGGGGCTTGAGGTGGCCGATTCCAAGCACGCAAGCAGCCGCTATCGCATCGCGCTCGGCGATCGGGGGGACCCGGGTGAGCCCGCACCAAAAGTCACTCCGGCGAAAGGTCACTCTTACGTGTAGTCGACAGCTGCCGCGAGCAGCATCCGCGGGCGCACCGCCAACACGGCCACCAGCAGCAGCAGCGACAGCACGACGACGGCGCCGGGGAGACCGCGAGAAGGCGGCCAGGCCAGGGCACTTCCTCGGTGACCGGGAGCACAGCAAGAGGACTGGAACAGTCGGAGACATGGCCGGGCCAAGGGATTCATCGACAAAGAGCCGAAGCAAGGAATTCCTGGGCAAGAGAGGCGCGACAACGTGGCCAGGGACCATCGGAACTGTGGCTTCTAACTCGGTTCCACACGTTGCTTTGCACTAGTGTACGGTTCGATTTTAACGGCTTCCGAAGGGCGCCACGACAGCACCAAGTGTGAGCTTTTGCTGGGGTGCCCGAGCTGCTGATGGTGGCGACGCGTGATGGCATCCATCACGAAACGCGATTCAGAAAAATTGGTAGCAACATATGTTGGATGCCTTCACGTGTCGGAACCTAGCCGAGGTAAGGGGGCCAATCCTGGTTTCGCCCATAACGCAACAACGCCATTGTACACGCAATGTTGCCCTCACCAAAAGAAGCGTGCACGAGCATGAGGACCACACTTCAACCACGATCGAAAACGGAAGGCACCAACGATCACAAGGGCGGCAGTGATGATGCAGGGAACTTGAAACGCGACAAGCGACATGTAGATCAGACACATAACACACCAATCGGGAGCGGCCAAGAGGGGGGTGTCCAAGAGGGGGGGGTGCAAATCATGACCGGCGGCATGTGCGCGGCCCAGCGGGGGGGCCAGGGACGTAATGAAACAAGAAGAGGCGCCGTGAGATCTGGGGAAATATCATGGCCCCCGCCATGATATCCACCCCCCCCTAGTCATCACCCCCTCTTTTCCGCCCCCGAACCAAATAGCAGGCCAAGGACGCCCGGAACTGACGGATGCAGAAAAGGGCCCTGGCTTCTTGCGCTCATCCCCGTGACAGATGTCGGGTGCAACCGCGCTTCAGAAGCGGACATAATCCAGCATCGCAGCCCCCCGCCAGGGCCTTCCCACTTTCCACGTGCTTGCCCACGTGCGAACGTAAAAGAGAAACGATCAGAGTTGAACGACGAGTGAAAATTGACGAGGCACGGGGGAAGAGCAATGGTCATGGGGGAAGAATGGGTAGGAGGAAGGTGTCCAACAACACGTTACGGAAAAAGGGTAGGCGGGGAAATGCGAGGGGGAAGAAGATGAGGAGAATGACACAGAGATCGATGATGAAACGCTGAGGTGGGGGATGGAGGCGAGGAGGAGCCAACAGGGGAACCAAATGGGAGGAACACCTGCTGGAGCCCGCTAACATACCCTTATTCACCGAAACCTTTGTAGCCTGAGACCCCATGGCCTGTGCCTGAGGCCCCCTGAACCACCGCCCCCCGAATCCGTGGCCCCCGAACCATCGGAATAATCCCCCCTTCCCCCATTCCCCCCTCACTCCGTCCCTCACCTCCTCCTCCTCCTCCTCCTCCTCCCCCTCCTCCTCCTCCTCCTCTTCCTCCTCCTCCTCCTCGTCCTCCTCCTCCTCCTCCTCCTCCTCCTCCTCCTCCTCCTCCACGGGGGCGGTGGTGAAAACGGAAAAAAAAACCAAATCGACCCATACATTCGCTGGTTTTCGCAGCGCCTCCATGGTTGTGGTCATGACGATGATAATGATGATGCTGATGCTGATGATGATGATGATGATGATGATCATGAGCATGATGATGATGATGATGATGATGATGATGATGATGATGATGATGATGATGATTGATGATGATGATGATGATGATGATGATGATGATGATGATGATGATGATGATCATGAGCATGATGATGATGATGATGATGATGATGATGATGATGATGATGATGGTGAGGGGAAGACAGGGGGAATCCGGAGAAAACAAGAAGCCCACTTCGGAAATGGAGAGAAGAAAAACAAAAAAACGCTCTCTCGTCCTCACCCCATGCCTGCCGGCCCCCCCCCTCCTGGAGGCACCCCTTCAGGAGGAGGAAGAGGAGGAGGAGGAGGAGGAGGGACGTAGGAGGACAGGAGTAGGAGGGGGAGGAGGAGGAGGAGAGGAGAGAGGAGGATGAGAGGGAGGAGGAGGAGGATGAGCAAGAGGAGGAGGAGCAGCAGGATGATGATGATGAGGAGGAGGAGGAGGAGGAAAGGGAGGAAGAAAAGGAGTGCCCCCCTCCTGGAGCCGGCGAGGAGGGCCAGGGGGAGGGGGGAACCGCTTCGGCCCGGAGAGGCCGCCGGCCAGCCGGCCGAGCGGGGCGCGGCCTGTCTGGCCCTCGATGTTGACGTAGTTGACGGCCTGGGGCGGGGCGAGGGCCCCCCCCCCGCGGGAGGGCAGGGCGAGGGACGGGCGGCCTCCTCCAGCGAGCAATCGGGGGGGAAGCGCGGAGAGGGGGGGGAGGGCAGAAAAGGGGGGAGGCCCGCGGGAGGGGCCCCTGCCTCCGGGGAGGAGAGGGAGGAGGAGGGGGAGGAGGAGGAGGAGGAAGAGGACGAGGAAAGGAGGAGGAGGAGGAGGCGGAGGAAGGAGAGGAGGAGGAGGAAGTAGGAAGAAAGCGGGTGGGGAAGGGGAGGCGTGACAGGAGGGATGGCGGGAAGAGGGGGGAGGAGGGGGAGGATGAGGAAAGGGGGGGAACAAGGAGAGAGGTGGGTGGTCTGGACGAAGAGTCACAACATACCCCACAGATGTTCCAGAATGCTCCAAAGGTGATCAAGAAAGCCCAGACGAACAACAACAAATGTTCGAATCTTCCCCCTGTAGGAGGAGGAGGAGGAGGAGGAGGAGGAGGAGGAGGAGGAGGAGGAGGGGAGGAGAGTAGGAGGCGGAGGAGGAGCGGGGGGAGGAGGAGGAGGAGAGGAGGAGAGGAGAAGGAGGTGGGGGGAGGAGGAGGAGGAGGAGAGGAGGAGGCGGAGAAGGAGGAGGCGGAGGAAAAGGAAAAGGAAGAGGAGGCGGAGGAGAGGAGGAGGAGGAGGGGAGGAGAGGAAAAGGGGGAGGAGGAAAGAGGAGGGGGAGGGGGAGGAGGAGGCGGAGGAGCAGGAGGAAGAGGGGAAGGACGAGAGGAGCTCACCTTCATGTCCCGCCCGCACACCCCGTCCTGGTCGTGGTCCCAAGAGGCTCTCGGCCGTCCTCGACAGCAAAGATCCCTAGACCTGCACTGCGGCCTTGCCCGCCGCGCCCGCGGGCCCCGCGCCCCCCCCAACCACACTTGAGAGAGAGAGAGAGAGGAGGAGGAGGAAGAGGACGAGGACGAGGAGGAGGAGGAGAAGGAGGAGGAGGAGCAGGATTAGGAGGAGGAGGGGAAGGAGGAGGATAAGAGGATAAGGAGGGGGAGGAGGAGGGGGAGGAGGAGGAGGAGGAGGAAACGGAGGATCTCAGGTCAGTGAAGCCTTGCATGATCCCGCAACATCCTGCAGGATCCTGCGCGATGCTGCACCTTAGCCCGGGTCAGTACATCCCTGGCCCTGCAGGAGGATCCTGCCAATCCGGTGCCCCGGCTGAGCCCCGCTTGCATCGACCCCCGTCTCTGAAAGCTCCGAATACTTTGATGTTTCGCCCCCCCGCCCGGCCCAACCTGCCGGCGGGAGGAGGAGGGGGAGGGGGAGGGGGAGGGGGAGGAGGAGGAGGAGGAGGAGGAGGAGGAGGAGGAGGAGGAGGAGGAGGAGGAGGAGGAGGAGGGAAAGGAGGAAGAGGAGGCGGAGGGAGGAGGACCCCTCGTCGTACGACGACACGCGCGGGAGAGAGAGAGAGAGAGAGAGAAACAGCCCTGCACTGAAGTTTGCCGCCCGCCCTGCCCCGTTCGCCCCTTGTCGCCTGACTTCTACCCTCGAGCAAGACCCGACCCTCGAATGTCCCGCCCGCCACGCCACGCTTTGCCCGTTGGCCCTGCTTCGGCTGGCCATGCGCGACAGGGATCCAGCACCTTCAATGCCCCGCCCGCCCAGCCCGCCTCGCTCCTTGGCCCCGCTCCACCCGACCGCCCTCGCGAGACGTCCAACTCTTCCACGTCGACCCCGCCCAGGCCGCCGCGCCCGCGGGCCCCGCGTCGCCGAACCACACTCGCGAGAACCCTGCACTGCAATGCCCTGCAATGCCCAATTGGCCCTCGAACGTATCCCTATCCCTGGTAATGCACTCTCCGCCGCTCGCGCAGGTGGATGGCGGGCACCAACAGGACGAAGTGGCCTGCTCACAGTACGCATTCCGACTAACATCGCGCCAAATGAGCCTGCACGTCCCGCCGGCTTCCTTCTCGCACGAGAGGGGGCGGGGCCATCTCTGAAGGTGAAGCGTATCTGGTGCCGCGTATCTCCTGCCCGCTCTGCTCGCCACGGGCTCGCTTCGCCCCGCCTCGCCCGACCGCACCTCGAGAGGGAGAGGCCCGGCACGACACCTCACAAGGATCCTCGCCCGCCCGCCGCGCGTCGCCCGTCGGCGCTGCCTCGCCTGAACCACACGCTGCAAACACACACACAGACACACAGACACACACACGTTCATTCTCCGCCCACCCGCCCCGCCACGCCTCGTCGGCCCTCACTCGCAAGAGCCGTCCTTGGTAATGTCCCGCCCCCGCCCAGCTCGCCCCCCTCCCCCGCCCCGCCCGACAGCGAGACATCAACTGCGAGTGCGCCAGGACTGAAAGTCGGATCGTTCAAATTGCCAATCAAGATCCCCCCTGATTAAAAATTCAGGAACATTGAAATTCGATCCCCCTCTTTCAATTGATGTACGTATGTGTTCAATCCGCCACCCCAGAAATTACACATTCGATCTTCGATCCCACGCCGAAGCCCCACATCAGTTCACTCACAGGAAGATGGTCGAGATGGAGGATGGAGGACGGAGGATGGATTGGTGGTTGGAGGTGGATGTTGAGAGAGATGGGTGAGGACGCGTGGGGTGAGAATGGAGGAGGACAGATGGAGAAGCAGGGGAGGAAGACGAGGAGGGCCATAGAGAGAGCAACAATTGCCACGGCGGTGGGTGAGAGGCCGAAACGCTCGCATCTCCATCCGTGTCCTCCACTTCCCCCATTTCCTGCGCCTCCTCCTCCCTCCTCCTCCTCCTCCTCCCACATCCTCCTCCTCTCCCCCTGCTCCTCCTCCCCCCATCCTCCTCTTCCTCCTCCTCTCCTCTCCTCCTCTCCTCCTCTCGCTCTCTTCTCCTCTCACCCTCCCTCCCCTTTTCCTCCTACCCTCCTCCTCCTCTTCGCTCCTCTCCTCCTCTCCTCTTCCTCTCCTCTCCTCTTCCCCTCCTCCTGTCCTCCTCGTCTTCCTCTCCTCCTCGCCTCCTCCTCCTCTCCTCTCTCCTTCCTCTCCTCCTTTTCTCTCTCTCCTCCTCCTCTCCTACTCCTCCACCTCCTCTTTCCTCTCTCCTCCCTCTTTCTTCCTCCCCCCTCCGCCCACTCCGTCCCCCCCCCTCTCCTCCTCCTCTACTCCTCCTTCCTCCTCTCCTCCATCCTCCTTCCTCCTGCTCCTCTCTCCTCTGCCTCCTCCCTCGCCTTCCTCCTCCCTCCTATCTCCTCCCTCTCCTCCTCCTCCTTCCTCCTCCTCCTCCTCCTCTCTCCACCTCCTCCTCCTCTCCTTCATCCTCCTCCTCCTCGTCCTGAAGCTGACACCTGTGGCAATACCATGGGGGGCAGCCAGACAGCCCCTCCTTTGCATCCCCTGATCTCCTGTCCTCCCCCCTCCTCTCTTCCCTCCCCTGCCCCCCTCTTTCCCTCCCCGTCCTCTCGTTGTCACTCTCGTCCACCAATCTTCTTTCTCGGACCCCAAACTCAATCTCTTCCTCCTTCATCTAATCTCTTTCCTCTTTTCCTCCTCCTCCTCCTCCTCCTCCTCGCCCTTCCCTCCTTTCTGATTGCTCCTCCCTCCCCCTCCTCCCTCCTCCTATCCACGGCATCGTCCCACCACCACCTCCCTCCTCCTTCCTTCCTCCGTCATCCCTCATCCCTTCCTCCCTTCCTCTCTCATCCCTCCATCACTCATGTTCATTCCTCCCGACTCCTCCTGCTCCTTCCTCCTTCTCCTGCTCCTTCCTCCTCTCTCCTGCCTCCACCCACTCCGTCCTCCTCCTCCTCCCTCTCCTCCTCCTCCTCCTCCTCTCCTCCTCCTCTCATCCTCCTCCGCCTCTTCATCTCCTCCCCCCCCCTCTCTCCTCTCCTCCTCCCTCCCCATCATCCTCCTCTCATCCTCCTCTATCGTTTGCTCCGCTCCTGCGCCTCTGCTCCTATTCCTCCTCTTCCCCGCCTCCTCCTCCTCGTCCTGCTCCCCTTCCTCCGGCCTGCTCCTCCCTGCTTCTCTCCTCCCTATCATATCCTCCTCCTCCTCCTCATCTCCTCCTCTCATCTCTCTCTCCTCCTCCTCCTCCTCCTCCTCCTCCTCAGCATCCTCCCCCCTTCCCCTCCTCCTCCTCCCCCTCTCCTCCTCTCCTGCTCCTCCTCTCCTCTCCCCCTCTCCTCTCCTTCATACTCCTCCTCCTCCTCATCATCATCCTCCCCTTCTCACCCTGCCTCCACATTCTCGATCATCATGTCGGCACCCTCCTCTCACCCTCCTCCCTCCCCCTTCCTCTCCGCCTCCTCTATCCTCCTCCTCCTCCTCCTCCTCCTTCTCCTCCTCATCGTCCTGCCTCCCCTTCTCCTTCTCCGCCTCCACATCCACCTCATCCTGCTAGGTAACTCCTCCCTGTCGCACCCCGAGGCCAATGTGTAGGGCGGGCTAGGCGTTTCGCCTGAGACGTCCTCGCCAAGTACGACTCTAAAGCTTAAACATGACAACAAGTTCACACATGGAGGGCGGATTGTTTTCAAAATGTGGCGATCGCCTTAGCGCCGCGCACATTCGTTGCAACAAACTGCAAGAGCGTCACGGATTGAGGGCGGGTGGTGTTCACAATGTGGCTCTCGCCTGAACACTACGCGCATTCGTTTTAACGCATTGCAGGAATTTCACGGCTTGGGGGCGGGTGGTTTTCAAACTGTGGCTCTCGCCTTAGCGCCGCGCACACTCGTCTAAACATTGCAAGAACTTCACGGATTGAGGGCGGGTGGCTGTTTTAACTGTGGCTCTAGTCGTAGCGTCGCGCACATGATGTGTAACACATTGCAGGAATTTCACGGAGTGAGGGCGGGTGGTGTTCAACATGTGGCTCTCGCCTTAGCGCCGCGCGCATTCGTTTTAAAAAATTACAAGGGTTTCACGGATTGAGGGCTGTTCATGTTCGAAATGCGGCTATCGCCTTAGCGCCGCGCACATGTTTGGTGTTTAACTTTGCAGAAGTTTCACGGGTTCCCATGGCCAGAATGGTGTTGTGAAGGGTTCATGGTTATGCGGGCGCAACCGTTATGTTGATTCGCTGTGTTGAAGTCCCAACATAGCATTATGATACGATTCTGGATCGCCAGGACGCAGCAGTCAAATTGATACGTGGCATTGAAATGCCGAGAACGGTGTTTTGGCACGCTTCAGGATCTTCAAACTGCTGTCTTCCAACGAGACAGTTGTTCCCTTTGCAGGGCCTGTGAAGAGGGAGCTTGAAGGGAGGGTAAATTCCAACATCGTTGATGACTCTTGGGTTTCCACTGGTCCTCCTCCTCCTCCTCCTCCTCCTCCTCCTCGTCCGCCACTTCCTGCCCCGCTGTCACCTCCTCCATCCTCCTGTCGGCCCCAGCCTCCTCCCTCCTGGTCCTCACCCCCCCTCATCCTCAGCCACAGCATGCCTCCTCCTCCTCCTCCTCCTCCTCCTCCTCCTCCTCCTCCTCCTCCTCCTCTCCTCCTCCTCCTGGCCTCGCCGCGCTGAACGAGGCCGTCCACCCACACGGCGACGGCCTTGTCCTGCCGAGCTCCGCGCGCGAGCGGCCAGGCGCGAAGGTGGGAAGTGAGGAGGGTGGCAGTCCACACAAAACTCACCTCGCCCCCTCATGCCTCCTCTTCTTCGTCTTCCTCTTCTTCTTCCTCCTTCCTCTCCCCTCCTCTCCTCCTCCCCCTCCTCCTCCTCCCTCCTCTTCGCCCCTCTTCCCCTCCTCCTCCTTCTCCTCCTCCTCCTCCTCCTCTTCGTCCTTCTCCACTTGTCCTCCTCCTTCTCTTCGTCCCTCTCCTCCTCCTCCTCCTTATCATCCTCCTCCTCCTCCTCCTCCTCCTCGCCCCACGCCGTGCCCTCTGGGCTTCAGTGGTGCCCGCTGCGATCGATCTGGGAGCCGCCCACCCGCCTGCGCGCGCCGCGGCCCGCGGTGCGAACGACCCTCCTTGCGCAGCTCGCGCCGCCCCCCGTGCAGAAAGGACAGCCCCTTGCCAGGACCGCGACGCGAGAAATGGAGTCACCTCCGCGACCCCCCTCGGGCGACCTGGACCCGCCACCGTGCCCCGAGGCGTGGGGTGCCCTCAGGTCCCGTGCAGAGGACCAGCCGCTCCGGCCAGGACCGCGACGCGAGAAATGCGATGATCTCCGCGACCCCCCTCGGGTGACCTGGACCCGCCACCGTGCCCTGAGGCAACATACGGAGTGCCCTCGGCTCCCTTGTGGAAGGGCAACCGCTCTGGCCAGGACCGCGACGCCCCAAATGCGATGATCTCCGCGCTCCCCCCAGTGATCTGGATCCGCGACCGTGCCCCGAGGCATGATACGGAGCGCCCTCTGGTCCCATGGAGTTCTCTGTCCCCAGTCCTGAGCGAATGGGCATTCGAGGGCCTGGGCCCGAAATTCCTGGACTCCCGGGGGGCGTCTCGCAGCTCGTCGCGCGACGTGTCTGGAGCCGGGAAGGCTCGAAAGCTGGGCAAGAGGGCTCCAAGAGGCCCCGAGGACTGGGCCGAAGGCTACTGGATAAGGTCTGGAGACGTTATAGAGGCGACACATGTATGAACCACTGTTTGCTCGTCCCATCTGGCATGCATTGGAGGCTCGGATTTGACTTCGAGCCCGACGATTCGACTGCAGATCGTAAACCACCAGGGCATCTGGCGTGCAACGCTACTCTCCCAACAATGAGACAGGTCCAACATTGGACTCCGAGTCCGATGCTGGACTTTGTGGGCCTGGCGGATGCCCTCAGAAGAATGGTCCACATGATACAACACTTGACCTTCTTTACAGGCCCGAGGCTCATCCGCCACCGTGCCGCATGTAGAGTTGGAACCAGGCCAGGATAACGACCTCCAAGAGCCTGAGACCCTCCGTCGGCAAGAGCAAGCAGAACATCCGAGGGCACCCTCCCCAGGATGCACCAGAGCATCCAGCAGACATGCAGACGCTAGGGCACCCTCCCCGAACCGACCTCGATCTAATACCTCGGTCCGACTGTATGCGCCACCATGCCGTAGGCACTGGGCGCACCTCGAGTCCGCTGCACCGGGAGCTGCCATACGTTCTCAGAAGCCCAGGGAGCGGATTCCTTCGCTGTCGTCGCGTGTTGCCGCGAGCCTTTTCCAGAGGCCACTGGGCCCCAAGTCGGCCAAGGATGACGGGCCTGCTTCACCCCGCCACCACCACCACCAGTTGGAGGGGGAGGGGCTCCTCCTCCTCCTCCTTCTCCTCCTCCTCCTCCTCCTCCTCGTCGTCGTCGTCCTCCCTCACCCCTCCAACTCCTGGGGGTCGTGGTGGCAAGCAGGCCCATCCAAGGAGGGCCCACGAGGCCCCCATGGGGCCCAGCACGAGCGCGCCTCCTCGGGCCCCGGTGGGCCTCGGCAGCCCCTGCGCTCCCGGGGGCGCTGCCCCGGGCGCTCGCTCCCTCGGGGACCGTGCCGCGCGACCTGTCCTCCGCGAGGCCGCCGGCAGCAGCGGGCCCCAATAGTTCTCCATATTTTCTCGGGTTTCGTCTTCCCCCCCCACTTCCCACATGCTCCCATCCTTGCCTGGGAGTCGACGGTTCGTTGCGTCTGGGTGTGTTCTCCCCCTCCTGGCAGTAGCTGGGCGCCCGAGGCGCCCTCGAGGAGAGCCCCAGGAGAGACTCGGCCCCCAGAGAGGCTCCCAATTCGGGCTCGACCAAAACAGTGCCTTTCGTTCTCGTGCCGCTTTCGCTTTTCCCTCGCTCTGCATTCGACTTGTTGTTGCAAGACGAGATCGAAACGAAAACGGCCAACGAAATCGCCCAACACACAGTTCAGGTCGACCCCTGACTCCCAGTGGGGCCCCCGGAGGCCCCCAGAGAGGCTCCCAAGATGCCCCCTGGAGGCATCCAGAGAGACCCAGAGGGGGCATCCGAGACGCCCCTACCTCGGCCACGGGGAGAAAAACAGGTGCGTGCCGATGCCGCTGCTCCCCGAGCCTCTCCCGGGGCGCGCTCGGACCAGAACCTCGAGGCGAAGCTGGCGGTGGCGACGAGGCCCTCTCCGGAAGCCCCGAAAAGGCGAGAATGGGGAAGGGTTCGGCGGCAACTCGTGTGAGCCTCCCACCATCTTGTCGGCTCTTTCTCATCGACGCTCATCGAACACTGATCGACGCTACTCGACGCTTCATCGACGCTGACTCGACGCCAACCGACGTTAGATCGGGGCCATCCTACGACTCCCAGACGCCAATCGACGCTACCCGACGCTGAAGACTGAAGAGAACATGCACGGCCCCCATGATTTGCCACCGAAGAAGGGGCCGCGGCATCGAGACCTCGTCCCCCCCCCGGCCCCCCACGCCGAGGCCCGGTGGCGGAACGGGCCGAACACCACGACGACTCAAAGGGCCCCAGGACATACACAAACAAATACACACAAATAAAAGGATTCCCCATAGTTTCCCATATTTTCCGGGCTCTTGCCTTCCCGCCCAATTCCCATATTTTCCCATATGTTCCCGGGGATCGACGATGAATTGTGTCTGCGTGTGTTTTTCCCCTCCTGGACGACGTCTCCCGCGGCAGCGCCCGCGCACCGTCCCCGCGCCGCTCTGCGGGCACTGCTCGGGCCGAGGCTCTAGGCGCCGCTGAAGGGGCCCGAGGACTCACAGAGAAGAGCACACAAATCCCAGGGTCCCCTGGACTTCCCCACATGTTCTGGGTTCTCGTCTTCCCCCCCTCTTCCCCTGGTTTTCTGCAGATTTCCTGGGAGTCGACGATGCATAGTGTCTGTGTGCTTCTTCCCCTCACAAGCCGAGGATCCTCCGACGGCCCCGCGAGGAGCGAGGATCCCCAAGATCTGATCGTCGTTCACGCGCGGCGCTCGCCGCTCATCAGCTCAAGGTGGCTCAGGAAAAGGCGCCAGAAGCGCCCAAGAGGCCTCCAGGAACCCACGTGAGCGACGACCTACAGCGGGTCCTGCGCGAGACGGCATAGCTTCAGGTCGGGCATGTCCCCCTACAGGCGGATGGTGGGCGACAAATGAAAATTAATCAGAAAATGCAGCACAATGCTCAAAAAGAATCGAAGAACCGTCCCCAGACTATTGTTTGCCTATTTTTGGGATATCCCTCCTGCAGAGAGACAGGCCCGACTTGCGCCTATAGCTGCCTGCCGCGGTGGCCCCCACCGGGCCGCCCGCGCGTCGCGCTGCCCTGGGAGCAGAGGGCGCCGACGCGCGCGGGTAGCCCACGCGGGCAGCGCACGCGCCCGCGTCGGAGCACGCGACCCTGCTTGTTTGGTTGGGCGCCCGAGTTATCGGGGGTAACTCGGGCCCGGGGCAACTCGGGCTTGGATTCCCGAAAAACGAACCCGAGTTGGCCCTGACCTGAATTATGCCTGATGCTTTGGGGCTCTGGACGCCCGAGTTATCCGGGGTAGCTCGGGCCCGGGGCAACTCGGGTTCGGATTCCCGAACAACGAGCCCGAGTTCGCCCTGACCAGAGTTACCCCTGATGATTCGAAGCTCTGGTTTGGCGTCGCGCACGCGGGCGCCCGGGAAGGCCCGAGCGCGCCCGCAGCGCGGCCCCCCATGGAGCAGGGACCGCCCGTCCCGGCATGCCTATAGCCATACCACGACATGTTCTCAGAACCCAAAACTGTTCCAAGAGCAAAAACCAATGTGCTTAGAACATAAACCCGATGTGTTAAAACAAGACAGTCCCAGCCAGGAATGTTCTAAGAACATTTCGTGGAAACCACAAAATGTTCTCAGAACACTGTTTGGTAGGGCTATAGGCGAGCCAGGACGCTTCGCCACTGCTTGATGCCACGGACCGCCCCAAAACCTACGAGACTCCCAGAAGCCATCCCATCCAGACAGCCCAGGACAGCCCCGGAACCACCCCGCGAGGGCCACACAAGGAGCCAACGTGGTGGTCGCCTTGTTCACTTGACTGACCGGATGGATGGTTGGCTGGCTGGTGGGTTTGAGGGCTGCTTGGCGTGGGCTGGCTCGCTGGCGGGTTGAGTGGCAGAGCTTGACTTGTCGGTGGGTCAGCTGGCTGGCTGGTTGGCTGCTTGACCAGCTGACTGACTCCTTTGCCGAATGGCTGGGCGTCTGTGTCTTGGCAGATGGCCGCCACCGCCGAGGCGCGGGCAGGCCTGGATAAAAGGGGCCCTGCGCCTGCGCACGCTCGTCCTGGCGCAGGGCCCATCACTCCTGGGCGCAGGGCCGGCGCGGGCGCTGCCTGGGCCAGGAGGACTCAGGGGGAGGACGGACGCCGAGGAGGAGGAGGAGGAGGAGGAGGAGGAGGAGGAGGAAGAGGATGGGCCTGGCCAGCATCGGTGGGCAGCCCCCGCGCTGCCAGAAGCAGCCCCGAAGCTGGAAGGGCCGGGCCTTCCCCGGCCACGGCGCGCCGCGGCCACGAGCAGGTCTCCCGACCTGCTTCTCGGGAGCGGCCCCCGGAGACCGTGGGCCCCTCCCGAGCCCAGCGTCTCGGCGCCGTGGCTGTACGCTGAAATCGGGCCTGTCCCCCATACAGGGGGATTTTCGACGAAAAATTAGAAATGCCAAAAAAATGATCAAAAAATAGTCCAGACATGATCTGGGGACTGTTTTTTGCATATGTGTTGACCTCTTTGGGATATTCTGGGGGTATGTTTTATCTTTCGTCGATGATCCCCCTGCAGGGGGACACGCCCGACAGAACTGTGCGCCGACCCCGGGCGTCAAGAGCGAGCCTGACCCCTAGGATCGGTGCCCGTGTGCTCCGCTCGCCGCCGGCTGCTCCCCCCCCCCCGCGGGGGTCGGCACGGCCCGGCGGCGGCGACGGAGAGGGTGCGCCGTGGCAGGAGCGGGGGCCTCCTCTTCTCCGGGCCTCCTCCTGGCCTCCTCCTCTCCTGGCCTCCTCCTATACGCACGGGGACACGCTCCACTGGCCCCCCCTTCCCTCGCCATCGCTCGGACGTCCATTCCCTGTGTGCTTTTTTCGGTTTCGTGCGTGCGTTTTGGTTCGCCAAGTGATCAAGGATGCTCCTCGATGGTTCTCGCCGGAGGAAATATGCACACGTCCGAGCGATGCCAAGTTCCTGCCCGTCCAGCTCCACCTCCTCATCCCCCCGCGCGTGGTGCGGCGGTGGTGGCACTGCTCGTTCGGAATGGTCGGGCACCATCGGCCACGATCGCTCGCCCGCTGATCGCGGAGGGCCGCGAGAGGAGAAGAGGCTGCAGCGCCCGTGTGATCTTGAGGGGCCGGGGGGGCGCAAGGAGAAGAGGCCCTCCTCGTTGTAGAGCAGCCAGTGCTCCCCGATGCGCTCGCTTATGATCTGCCTCCGCTCCGACCCGTGCGAACCTCTCGCTCGGTCCCCGTGCTCGCTCTCTCCCTGCCCTCCTCGCCTCTCGTCCTGCCCCCGCAGCCTCCCCTCCTCCTGCGCTCCCTCGCACGTCCACTCCCCTCTTCTCCTCTCGTGACCCCCCTGTCTCTCTTCCCAGTCGTTCCTCCCCCCCCCTGGACCGCACTCGCCTTCCTCCCTCCCGTCAGCCCCCAACGACAATGATCACTTTCCTTGCGGCGGCCGCCCGACACCTAGCTGCTAGAATCTGAAGGTGTTCGGATCGATTCGCGGTGTAGCGTGCGCATGTCATTCTGAAGGGGAGAGCGCATGTCGCGACAACAATCCCTGGACACGTCGGAATCGCCTGCCCGCCAGTAGAATCCGCCAACCCTGTCGGCGTGTGGGATGGGTTGTTCGTCGTCTTCTCTCCTGGGTCCGTCGCCGCTCCCCTCTCTTTCCCTGGATCCTCGTCCTCAAGCGCGCCAGCCAAAGCGATATGAAGCAATCCAGCGAAAGCGAAATTAACAACGCTATCATTGAGTCAAAGGAAGCCCCTTCCCTTCGATCCCTTCCCCGCCGGGGGGGAGGGAGGGTCCCTGGGGGGGTCCCAGGGGGGGGCCCGGGTCAAAATACCGTCCCCCGTTTGCGGCTTTTACAGACGGGGCCCTCTGTAGATACGCTGGAGGAGTGGGGGTTCGCCACGACGGATCTGCAAGAACGCCCCTGGACGGCCCAAGCCCCACAAGCCAGTCCAAGAACGCATAAGGACGGTCAACGCGGGCTCCCATACGGGTCAAAAGAACCCCAATAGGACTCTCAAAAAGGCCCGGAGAGGCCATATTTATTGATTTTCGCCCTCCCTCCCAGTTCAGTCGAGGGCCGAGGCCTCCAGAATTGGTTGCTCCTACTCGCTTGCTCTCGCCGTCGTCTTCAGGGTCGGCGGCACCGGCCGTAAGGCCTTCGCAATGAAACGTCCAGAACACTGCCCCCCCCACTCTCCCTGGACAACGGCCCCTCTAACTGGGGGCCGGGAGGGGGCCGTCCGACGGGGGAGGGGGTTCGAACCCCCCCTCCTGTCCACGGAAGGGGGAGGTCGAACCGTGGGAGAAACCCTTCCCCACTTGAATGCGATCAGTACTCGATTAAGCTCGAAATCAATCCTACTATAGCTGGAGCCAACTTTCTAGTAGCGTTCTAGTCGGGCTGCTCGACCCACCTCAAATAGCATCCCACTGTGTATCTGGATCCAGTTTTAACTGAATCCGACTAAGACTCGATCAGCTTCTACTGGAATCATAATGCAGCTGCAGATGGTCTTACTTGCATCGCATCCCAGCCAGGCTCTATCCAACCCCGAGTAGAGTGCTTCAACGGCTCAGTCCAGCTATGGTAGCATCCTACAGCAGCTACAGTCAGGCACTGATTGAATTATACGAAGTCTCCATCGGATTTGATCAGATTTGATGCAACCATAATAACATCAAAAATACACCAAAGAAAAAAACCTATCAATGGATCGTTTTCGCTGAGGAGATCGACTGGGAAACCGGGAGCCCGGGAACCCAGAACCCACCGAAATCGGCCTGGAACCAGCAACTGGGAACCCGGGAACCCGGAACCGGGAACCTGGGAACCCAGTCTGCTACCAAGATTGGCGGGAAACGTTTGCCAAACCTTTTAACTTCCGCTAGGACTCCTTCAGTGCAAGCACTGTTTGGGAACGATACTGATATCCAGGGACGTGTCCAACCTGGCCAAAACGTCTGGAACACACCCACAGTGGTGGATCCGCGTGTGTTGGCTTTCCCGCTGGACACTCCCTTGGGGCCTCGCGCGGTCCGCTCGGCCCAATACATTTGAGTTCGGCAAGGGGGCCCTCCCGGGCCCTGATTGGGGAATCAAAAAAAAACTCGATCGTCGCTGTCATCTTGGGCGTGACTCAATGGGGGGTCATAAATGGGGGGGTCAGAAACGGTCCCCTTTCGTGCCCCTTTCGGCCTTCTGGAGTCCCAGGGTGCTCGCTTAGGTACCGTTTGGGTACCTTTTCGGACCCCCCATTGCGCACCGCCCAATCATCGTCGCTGCCCGACGGCGCCGGCGCCGGAGTCGGCGCTCGCTGCCGTCGGCTGCCGCTGGGGGAGGGAGGGGGCCCCCCCTCCCCAGCTCGAACCCCCCGCCTCCCTCTGCATGTCGGGGCCCCGGTAGTTCGAACGCTCCCCCTCCGCCTCGAGGGAGGGGGGGGGGGGGCGTTTCGACCCCGCCCCCTCGCAGTGCAGGGGGGGGCCCCTCGTCGGTTCGACCCCCCCCCCACACACGCCTGCCCAGCGCAGCAGAACGCGCTCGCTCTTTCCTACGTGGCGATGTCTTCGGATGGCCGAATCGGCCACAAGATCGTGCATGCTGGTTGCACCCTGTGTGTTGAACAGAACCAACCTCATCGCTGGCACGAGGACAGTGATGGCGCAGCTTGACATAGAAGGTGCCGACTGCTCTGACGATAGTTTGTTTGCATCCTTCGGCTACAAGCAAGAGTGAACCTGGGTAAGAGTGACCTTTGGTGCGCGAATTTGGGGGGGCGCGGGGGGGGGCCAAACACAAGCGCACATGACGCCACTGCCGCCTCGCGTTCGGCGAGGCAGAACTCAATCTGGCCCGCACCAAAGGCCACTCCGGCCAAAGATCACTCTGACGTATAGCCGAAGCTTGAATATGATCTAATAGATGCGTTTGTCAAGGTGGCGGCGCGTTCCAACCCGCCGGCCGATCCCGAGGGCTTAGTGGGCCCTGGCATCGGTAGGGCCGTCTCTTCGACCGTTTCAGATGAAGCGTCTCTTGAAAACGGAAACGGGAAAACAACGGCGATCGAAAAAGACATGCAAGCGGCTCCAAGATTGGAGCCGGAGCTGGAACCAGAAGCAAGAACGGCGACGGAACCGGCCACAGACACTTTTTTACCCATCGAAGAAGCCCAGCGGCAGAGAGCAGCAGTCGAGGAGGGGAGGGTGGGGGAGGGGAGGGGGGGCCGGGGCGGCACGCGGCCCATGCGCAGGCCGCCTGAATTACGAATTAGTCCGGCGGCCCCGGGCGCTGCACCAGGCGCCCGCGCAGCGCCGCGCGCCATGTTCGGCCACAGACACGGCGTCGGAACCGGCAGCAACAAGAACGGCACAGCTCGAGGTCGATCGCTCGATCGCTGCCTCTCGATGTGTTGCGCCCCTCCTGGCCATCGCTCGGACGTGCATTCCCTGTGTTTTTTGTTTCGGTTTCGTGCGTGGTTTCTTCGCCAAATGATCAAGGATTCTCCTCGATGGTCCTCGTCGAAGGAAAACTGCACACGTCCGAACGATGCCAAGCCATCGTACTTACGGACCACATCCCCGAAACAATTTCGAGCACCCGGAAAGGTGTCGAAACAGTGTCGAAACCGTGTCGGACGAGTGCCTCCCAGGGCCCGACACGTGGACCCCCCCAAGTTTCGGTGCTTGTTTGATGCTCGAAGTTCTTTCTGCGGGTCAAAGCTAGAATAGGTTGGAACATCAAAAGCCTCTCGTGCCGTGGGCACGCCTGCGGCGTTTTGCGGCTGCTCCTCTGGCCGTCGCGTTTGCCCCCACGGAGGGACAATAGGGACACCTCATCATGGCTCCCCTCCCCTCCCCTTCCTCCTCTTCCTCCCTCATCCTCTCCCTTCCCACTGGATTCCCCCCTCTCCTGACCCCCCCTCGCCTGACGAGGGAGCCGCCGAGGATGTAGCCAGGACCGCCATCCGCGCTCTTGGGGTAGAGCTGGGCGCGGGAGGATGAGGAGGGAGGAAAAGGGGGAGGGCGGAGGGATGGAGGGATGGGGCGATGACTGCGTGCAAGCGCACGAGGCCCCCAAGAGGCCCGAAAGGAAGCCCCTGGCAATCGAATTCATTGAGCTATCTGGAGTATCGTTTATCCGATCCCCATCCCCAGCGGCGTGGGCTGGACCCCACTGGCCGACATACCCCCCTGGATGGGGATATGGGTCGTTCCCTTCGGGTTTCGAGAGGTGTATCCCCAATTGGGGGGGTAATGTGTTGGGGGTCTCGAAGGGGATGGGGATGGGGATGGGGGTCGGCTGAGCGATACTGATATCCAGGGACGTGCCGAAACCTGGCCAAAAGCCGTTGAGCACACACCCAGGTGGTGGATCCGCGTGCGCCGGATTCCCTGCTGGACACTTCCTTCTGGCCTCTCGCGCCCCGCTCGGCCCAATACTCTGGGGTCGGCTGGATGACCGGAATGGGCACGGAAAACCCAGGCGATCTAGATCACACGGGGGAACGAGGAGCTCATCGCATTTGGCGCGTCGCAGTCCTGGCCAGAGCGGTTGCCCTTCTACACGGGAGCTGAGGGCAGCCCATCTCTTGCCTCAGGGCACGGTGGCGGGTCTAGATCACCCGGGGGTGTCGCGGAGATCATCCCATTTGGCGCGTCGCGGTCGTGGCCAGAGAAATTGGACGCCCGAAATGGGTACGAAAAACTGGGTACAATGCCCAACAGCACATGTTGTCCCAAACCAACAGGCGGCCGCTGTTGGGCCGGCGGCCTTCTGTCTCAGATGTGCACAGGTCGCTGCGACACAGACCGCGAGTCCTGATCAAAAGGAACAGGAACCGCTGTTGGGCATTGTGCCCATTATTTCCGTACCCGTTTCGTTCGTGCAGATGTCTTGAAGGTTATCGGGGGTCACCTAACCCATGTCAGCCCCGGGCTAGCACGAAACCAAAAAACTGAAATGCAGGAAATAAACAACTGCAACGCAGGGCTTCGCAAATCCGGGTCAGCCAGCATGCGCGGCCGCCTCGCGGCCACGAGCGGCTCGCTCACCCGGGTCAGCCAGAGGGTTTTTTCGCAAGATCCTGCAGGATCCAGGGCCCTGGCTGACCCCCGTCTGCATTGACACAGTCTCTTGAGCTCCGATGTTAGGCGTGGTAGACCTAGGGCTGGGCACGGGAACCGAAACAGGGCGCGTAAGGAGCTGGCGTGTGAGGGCTCACACCACTGTTCGTAAAGAGAGCCAGAGCCTTGGCCTTCAAAACTCTGTACGTCTGTGTTCGTACCGACAGCCTCGGCGTTCAGAACTTGCTACGTCATCGTTCTATGTGTGTGCCCTAGCGTTGAGAGCGTTTCAGATCATCGGGAGTTCGGAGGAGCCTCGGCGTTCAAACCTTCGTCGCAAACTCGCATGGACACGCGTTATTCCGCGGAGCTCGTGGAAACATTGGCGTTTCCTGTGTCCGTCAGCGGGCCGTCTGGAGGTAGAAGACTTGGCGTAACAGCTGTGTTCGTCATTGGCACGCCTCGGGGCAGAAGACTTGGCGTCAAAGCTGTGGCCGTCTCTGGGTCGTCTTGGGGCCAGAGGGCCAACGCCCGAAAAACACCAGCTACGGCAGACCTGGCTCACTGATTCTGGCAAATTGAAGAGCTCCAGGGCCCTACTACTAACCGGGTCCCTTACCTAGGGTCCTGGCTATACCCAATATTATTATTCTTCTTCTTTGGAGGTCGCTTGGGGGGGCAACATTGTTTCCAGGGCCAGATCCCAATACGCTCAGCCGGCGCGCTTGATCCGTCCATAACCATCCTCACGACACCCACTCGCGACAAGTTCGGACCTTGGGCTTGATTGGGGCTTAGGTTTGCTCTTCGAGCATTGCCTCCTCCTCCGTCGCCCCAGAAGCACAGATCGCGTTCGCTGCCCCTCAGCGAGCTGAAACTTTTTCTTCTTCTTCGAAAGGACCTCCCCGACAGCTTCTTCTTCTTCTTCGTTCTTCTTCTTCTTCTTCTATTTTTTCTTCTTCTTCTTCTTCTTCGAAAGGACCTCCCCGACAGCGGCTCGGCCGAGGCGGCGCACGAGCGCCCACCGCTCCTGCGGGGAGAATCGAGGGGAAGCCCGCGCTGCTCCCACGCGCGCGGGGCCGACATCCGTCGACGCGGGGCACGTGCGCCCGGAGACACGGGGCGGCGGCATTCAACGGAGGCTCGGCACTCTTCTTTTCCAGGAGGGCTCCTGTCGGGGACCTTCTGGCCCGGGCCAATCCAGGCCTGGGTCAGTCAGGCCTTCCAGGACCCCGCAAGATCCCGCAATCTCCTGCACCCAAACCCGCGCCCATGCGAAGGATCCTGCAGGATCCTGCAGGATCCTGCACCCAAGCCCGGGTCAATGCGACCCTGGCCCTGCAGAATCCTGCAAGATCGGGCGCTCTGGCTGACCCCTGCTTGCATTGACCCCCGTCTCAAGGCTCCCGACCGTTTAAGCAACGCCAGTTATCGGGTCCGTGTGGTTCTTCCTCCCTTGACCCACCGCCCGCCAGCGGCGAGGAGGATGAGGAGGGGGAGGAGGAGGGAGGAGGAGGGAAGGAGGAGGGAGGAGGAGGGAGGAGAAGGAGGAAGAGGACGAGGAGGAGGGGCCTCCTGGCCCCTGGGACACACTAATAAATAGACACAGTATAAAGGGGCCCTGGGCCCCAAGAGGGGCCCCAGGAGGGGTAAACGCGAGCCACCAGTTCGAGCCTTCCGCCCCAAGAGGCCCCCAGGACGCCCCACGGGGCGCCCACGAGAGCCTGGGAGGCTCCGGCCCCCTGGAGGCCCCACGAGGCCCCTCAGGGGCCCCAAAAGAGGCGTCAAGAGGCCCCCAAACGGCCCCAAGAGGCCACGAACGCGCAGGCCAACACCTGCGATGGCACAATACGGGCCTGCGGAATGAGCGAAGCGATATGAGATACATAGACACAAATCCCAGGATGCCCCATATTTCCCATGTCTTGGGGGTTCTCGTCTTCCTCCCCACTTCCCATAGTCTCCCCTATTTTCGTGGGGATCGACGGTGTCTGTGTGTTTTTCTCCCTCCTGAAACTTGAGGGGGGCCCAGCGGCGAGAACGGGCAACAAGCAGAGCGCGGAGGAGCCGGAGGAGGGCTGGCGGCGCGCACAACGGGGGTTTGGGGGGGAGGGGGTGGTCTTCTCGGGGATGGACAGAAACCCCTTTGGCAAAACGTGGTTTAGTGAAAACGACCTCGGGCCTGGAAGATGACGGCCGCGGCGCCCTCTCGAGAACCAAAAACGGGCAATTCACTAATCGACGTGTCAGGGTGAGGGTTCTGTCCACCCCCGATCTTCTGGGAAATGAGCTGCTGCTAAGGAGGCGCCGGCCCTACATCGGCAGAGACAAAGCCCGCGCCTTCTGAGAAGCAGGGGTGCTTCGTGCTTCTGAGAAGCCCTCCCCCCTCCCCCTCTCTTCGCTAGAGGCCTCCTAGATGGGGTCCGAGTAGATGGGGACAAAGGATCGCACCGCGTCGCCTGAACATCGGCGATGCACTGGCGACGCATCGTCGACGTCGGCCATACATTGGCGACGTACGTCGACGTGAAGCAAATCGGGCCCCACATCGGGCCGCATCGGCGATGCATCATGCGGCGCGATCCTCTGATCCCATCTACTCCGACCCCATCCAGGAGGCCTGGATTTAGGTCGGGCATGTCCCCTTATACAGACGGATTTGGGAGAAAATTAACAACACGCAGAATCTTCTCGAAACTAGCCAAAAACAATCAAAACATCGTCCCCTGTTTGAATATTCCTCTAGAGAGACACGCCCGACTGAAGCCTAGACTCGCGCGGCCAAACGAGGAGCGAAGGCAGGTATCGCGCTTAGCGAGCACGCGGGACAGCGGCAGCCCCCTGGCAGCCGTCGGGGGCAGCCTCCCCCGAGTATACGTCGCGGGGCTCGTAGAACGCGTTGAATGGGTCCCGGGAGGGCTTGGTGGGGCCCCTTCGCGATCGCGCGGGTGCAGGATCCTCCTCCTCCTCCTCCTCCTCCTCCTCATTCTCTTCCTCCTCCTCCTCCTCCTCCCTCCTCCTCCTCCTCCTCCTCCCCCCTCCTCCCCCTCCTCCTCCTCCTCCTCCTCCTCCCCCTCCTCCCCCTCCTCGTCCTCCTCCTCCTTCCGCACCGCGAGGTCGAATGGGACCGCGGGAACGGTCGGATCGCCAGCAAATCGTCCAGCGTCCAGACGGGATCGGATCGCCGAGCTTGGCGCTGGCTGGCGCCAGCCGAAGCCGTTCGATCGAAGCAGATCGAATCGAAGCCGCCTCGCGGCCAGGCCGGCAACTCGAATCGGATCGCAGGCGGCCGAAGTCGGGTCGGGCGGGGCTGGGGTGGAGGAGCGTGAGGAGCTTCGCGCGCTTCGCACCGCGTGGCGCGGCAATATCCCCCTCGCACTCTCGCGCCGTCCCCCTGGAGAGCGACTGCCCTACGAATCAAACTGCACTGCCAAACTATGTGTACTCCTTTTGCTCATCCTCTGTCCTCGTCACCCTGCCTCCCCCTCCTCATCCGCACTCTCATCCTCGCCAAAGTCCTGTTCCTGCCTCTGCGCCGCCTGTTCCGCGCACGAAGCGGGAAGCTGCAACCATCTGCTGGCGGCGCGCCCAGGGGGGCGGCCTTTGCAAGCTACCCCCCCGCATCTTGGAAGGTCCTTTTCCACGCTTCCTGCGAAGCGACGCGCACGCTCTGAAATGCCCGGCGCACGCCAAGAATGAGCCCCGCACTCTGGCCAGGCTGTGCTGGCACAGGGCGCGGGCAACACGACCGATCTTTAATCGGGCCAGGTGATTGCCAACCTTTAGCTGGAATCGGGTTTAGAATGCCCTCGTCATGCAACAGCACCAGACCCCCTCGCCAGATGCCCGACCAGAAGATTCAGACCCCCAATGTTGGAAGAGCCTGCTCTCCGCTCGTGGCGCCGGCGTGCCCACCAGACGGCGCCCTCACCAACCGGGCCCACCGAAGCCGCCGCCATAGCCAGGCCCGCCGCCATACCCCCCGCCATAGCCGGGCCTGCCGCCGTAGCCGTCCATCATCTGCTCGAGCTCGTACCCAGCGGCTGCGCCAGCCAGACCAGCCATGCCCATCTGGGCGCCGCTCCACTCGCCGTCGGGACCCGGGTCGAACATGCAGCCGCACAGCTGCTTGGCGCAGCAGGCCAGCAGACACAGGCACCCACAGGACACCACCAGGACGGCGACGACCATCGTGCCCAGCGGGCCCGCGCCTACCGCGGAGTGGAAGCCCTCTGCCTGCTCTGGCTCCGTGCCCATGGCCTGGACGCTCGCTGGCACCGGCTCCGGCGCGGCCAGCGGGACGCACCCGCCGGGCGGGCGGCAGGCCGTGCCCGCGGGGCAGCACAGCTCCGCCGTGGCCACGCAGCACTGCGACTGCAACTGCTGGCTGCTCTGCCAGGCCTCGGCCTCGGAGATGGCGTCGCTGATGGTCAGCGTGGTGAGGTTCAGCGTCGCCGACTGATTCGACGGGCTGCCGGAATGCGCCAGGGCCACCTGCAGGCCCAGCGCGAGGATCAGGCTCAGCAGCGCGCGCGGTCGGAGCGGCATCGCGGCGCCTGCCTGGGCAAGCGAACTGCCACGACGAGGCCGGGGAGCGCGAAGGCAAAAAAAGGCCTGAGCCGAAGTGTCTACGGGGCTTGGAAGGTGCGTGGCCGCACGGCCTCAGGAGGAGCCAGTCCCCTCTTGGACTCTGAGAGGCCCGCGCCCTCTTGGAGGGCCGCCGCCCGTCACTCTGCCCCCGTGTGCCCGCGCCGGCGGGTACATGAAACCATTGCCAATCCAGGCCCGCCGATCTGCTCAGTCAGCGAGGCCCATGGCGACGGGCAGGAGTACGTGGACGACCACGATGAAGACAGCGGAAAGAACATGAGCAGACGCAGAAGGAAGACGAGGAGGGGAGGACGCGGCAGATCGGAGGAATATCAAACACAAATACACGCGCGCACTTCGCGCGCGCTGAGGTTCAAGTCGTCTCCGCAACCGCTGTAAATGAGCACTGGGTCAATCCCTTGATGTGTCTTCGATTTGGTGCCCCCTTGTACTGGCTAGAGGGCCGGAAAGGCGAGGCTGAAGGATGGGCCCAAAGGCTAGCAGAACTCCAGCCGTGTGCGACGAGGTGCTCCCGAATGAGGTACAGACACATCTGGACGCGAGAACTGCCGCGTGCGCAAGCCTACGATGCCACGTCTGTCAGCGGGTACGAGCCCAATGAGAGGGCGATGGAACTTTGTCAAAGGCAGCGTTGAGGCTTCGTCGTGGGCTATGACGTCCACCTGGGATGGTATGGCGGCCATACTATGGCTAACCTGCTCAAGTAACGGTCTGGATGCCTCTCCTGCTCTTCAACCTCCTTTCTTCGTCCTCCGTCCCGTCCTCCAAATCTCCCGTTATCCTTCTCCTTTCCTCGACTCGAAGCGTGCTCCCAGAGAATCGTGTGAACGTCGATTCGGATGTTCCCCGAGAGGGCTCCGGGAACTTCGACTCCAATGGTTGGGACCACAGCCAAAGAACTTCGAGAGTCTGCCTTCCCTGTGACTCCTGGTTTCCTTCTGTTTCCTCTCCTTCCCGTTGACCGCTATCCTCCTCCTCCTCCTCCTCCTCCTCCTCCGATTCGAGTGATGCTCCCAGGGAGACAGTGGCTTCAGGGAGCAGAGTTCCCGAGGTTCCCCGTGGCCGCGCGTCGCTCGGCAAAAGACAAATGGAGGAAAGCCCAGGACGCAAACACGCACGGAGGAATGTAAGGGAGCATGGTTGGGTGTTGCAGGGCTGGACCTAAACGTTGTGTTTCGTTTTGTTGTCGCTTTGTTTATCGTTTTGCTCTACCTGTTTTCCTGTACCTCCCTGCCATAACAAAAAACAAAACACAGCCGAAGTCCAGCAAACCAGCGTTTAGGTCCAGCCCTGGGGTGTTGTTGAGGGTGGCGCTGGCTTTCTGAGAGCTTCTGGAGACCTCTACCGTGGTCATCGAGGCCCTGTTGGGTAATCGATGGCCATTTGGACCTCTCTTGTGAGGGCATGGCCCTCGGTAGGCATCGGAATCAATGTGCAGTGTCCAAAGAGGTCCTCAAAGCCAACAGCATGAGAAGGCCGAAACCAGCGAACCACCACCGCTTTCTGATTTCAAGAAGTTGGCTATCTGACCTCGAAGACAAGTCCCTAGGGGGCAAGCTGGAAGAGCTTCCTCCCGCCTGCAGCCATTTTGAGGCCGTCTTGGAGCCACATGGACGTATGCTGGGGGACGTACCTGTGGCAAGCATGTCGGGCCCTTTGGGGGCCGTATTATGGTCTCTTGGGGAACAATTGGGGCTGACGTGAGCCGTATGGGGACACTCTTTGGCAATCTTCAGCCTGTCTGCACCATCTTGGAAGTATAGTGGGCCTATCTTGAGGCCGTATGTGGGCCGTGTGGGCCGTCTCTTGAACTCCGATGCGGCACTTCTTGGAGGCTCCTGGGAGTCTCGGGGGGGAGGGCTCTGGATGCCTTTTCGAGGCTTCTAGGGGGGGCCTACCGACAGTGTGCGTGCTTCATGGGGCACTCTCAGGTGATCTTGTGGGCGATCTTGGGGAGCGGAGGCAGCCTGGGACCAATTCGCCGGCCCAACGGGCCAGAGGCGTGCTAAGATCTCCGGAAACTGGTTAACAATTCTTCTAGTTCGCGCGCGCGGGGCGGCCCCTGGGGGTCCCCTGGCGAAAAGTACCCCGACCGCAGCCCGGGAAGGTCTACCCAGAGATGGTTTTGAGGGCCTTTTTTCGACACCCCTCACGAGGATTGTGGCCTCCGAGGGGGGGGGGCACTCGACTACCCCGCCCCAAGAGGCCCCCAAGAGGCCCCCAAGAGCCCCCCAAGAGGCCCAAGGGGGCCCCAAGACGCCGCCAAGGAGCCTCAAGAGACCCCCAAGAGGCCCCCAAGAGGCCCCTAGGAGGCCCCAAAGAGGCCCCCAAGAGGCTTCAAAGTGGCCCCATAGAGCGCTCGAGGGCCGGCGGAATAAGCGAAGCGATTAAATAACATTACCCCACCGTGCCTGGGCTCCTCTGTGGGGCCCTGTTGGAGGCATCGTGAGCCCTCCCGGGGGCCTCTCGGGACGCGATGAAGCCCTCTCGGGCCGTCTTGGGGCGCTCGTTGTTTTCTTCCGTCCGTGACAATGAACGTCTGGCAGCAGGAGGTGGCAAGAGACGGGTGCCCTTAAAACGCTCAAGCAGGTGCAGCTACCTGGAACTAGGGTGGCGTGAGTAGGGGGGGGCAGGGTGGGCCTACGCCTGCAGCGCACACGCTCCGCAACATGTGCTGCCGAGCCGCGCGGCCCCAACAGGAGCAGAAGAGTGGGGCGCAGGGTGGGCGGCAACAAGACTTGAGAGCGGAAGATGAGCAGAGTGGGCGGCAGAAAGACCAAAGAGCGGAAGATGAGGGCCAGTCAGCGAAGGTAGTGCCCAAGCTGGAGCAAGCGCGCGCGCGAGAGGCGCAACAGTTCTCAGCACTTCCCGCACGACTTCGCGCACAATGTGGACATCACAATCATCAGGTGTCCCATCGCCGTATCGGTGCACATGTCTGCCTTGAGGTCGAGGATGCCTGCGCACGCAGTCGCCTCCACGAGGCCAGCGGTTTCCTCTGGATGGGTTTGCCTTGCTACTGCGAAGGCAGCAGCGTTGTGGTCCTCGCAGATGGCCTGGGACCCCCCCGTCCTTTTCAGCTCACCAGGTTTCGCGGCGAGCACCTCGTCCATCCTGCTCCCCAACATTCCGTCTTCGTTCCCAGCCAAGCCAGCCACGCCAGAGAAAGCGATCATCGCAAGGACGACGAACAGCTTGGGAGCCATCGCGCGAGTCCTGGCGGAGTCCCGCGGCAAATGGAGCGGGGCAGTGTCTGTGTTGTAGTAACCTTTCTTCCAAAGGCTTGCGGCACAATGGCTTGAGCAAGAATGGCTATGGAGGGCCGTCTTGAGGCGCTCTTAGCACACTCTTGGGTTGTCTGGGGCCGGCCTGGGGGGCGTCTTTGGCCGTCTTGGGCTTCACCGAAGCCCCGAAACGTGATGGCCCTCTTGGGGACCATGCTGAAGCCATCATGGGGCGTATTGGGCTGTTTGGGAAGCGTCTGGGGCAATTCTGCACCGTCTGGAACAAAGATTGGCTGTCTTCGGGGTCCGCCTACCGCTGTCTTCTTCCATCAATGGACTGGACGGGTCCTCCATAAAGGCAGAAAACGGGTCGAAGACTCTGTCGGCCAAGTGCGGTTACTGGGGGGAAGGCTACTTGTCATTGTGTGCCAGTGGCGGCCGACGGTCGAAACACACACACACACAACATACACACAACACACACACAACACACACACAACACACACAACACACACAACACACACACACATGCACACGCAAACGCAAACGCACACGAGCACGCGCACGCGCATGCGCACTCGCACGCAGACGTACACGCTTTTAGCGTCACGGACCTGCGCGCAGCGACAGGGCGGAGAAAGTCGTAGAACAGCAGCCGCGCGCGCGCGCGTCTAGAAGCGCCCGAGCCCTCAGAGACCACCCAGGGTCCCACAACAGCCGCCCAAGAGAAGCCATCCTGGCGCGGATGCCGGGGGAGACGCTGGGAGGATGACGCTACGGTGCAGTGGAGGTGCCATAAGCCATCGGGGACTGGATGGAGGGCTGCCGCAAGCCATCCCGGCGCGGATGACGGGGGAGACGTTGGGAGGATGACGCCACGGTGCAGTGGAGGTGCCATAAGCCATCGGGGACTGGATGGAGGGGGAGCGAGTAAGCACTGTGGAGCGACACGGAGACCAAGACCGCCCTGAAGCCCAAACGGGCAGGGGGGTCCCGTGCCGACTGCGAACATGCACCCAGGGCGGCGGGAACCGGCAGGAGGGCACCCAGGGAGGAGCAGGGAGGCAAAGGGCCTGTCAGAAGGCGGGGGCGCCACAGCGGTCGCAGGCGGCAGGGCCGCGACGGCCAGCCAGAGAGACAGCACGCGCACACGCACACGCACACGCACACGCACTCGCACGCACATGCGCACGGGCACACGCACGCGCGCACGCACGCGCACGCGCTCACGCGCACACGCGCGCACACTCGCGCACACTCGCGCACACGCGCGCACACGCGCGCACGCACGCATGCACGCCCGCCCGCACGCACGCCCGCCCGCACGCACGCGGGCACGCACGCACGCACGCACGCACGCACGCACGCACGCACGCACGCACGCACTCTCTCACACCCCCCCCCCACCCACACACACACACACACACCAACACGCGCACTAACAAACACACAAACATACAACACACACACACAAACACAACACAACAATCCACAAACACAAACGCACACACACAAACGTAACCACAAAGACAGACACAAACACGGACACACACAAACACAAGCACACACACACACACACCGACACACACACACATATATATATATATATATACATATATATATATATATATATATATATATCCGCCGGCCCCCTTGTGGGACCACCAGGCTGCGAGGCGCGTGATTCGCAGTTTCCTGTACCAGTTGTAGTTTGTAGTTTCCAGTGTTACAGTTCTGCTTCTTGCTGGTTACTCTAACTAGTTCACTTCTTGCTGGTTACTGTAACTAGTTGATTGACCGCGCGAGGGGGGGCGTCTCCTGGGCGCGTTGTCTGAATTGCTGGGGGGGCTCGAAATCGACACCCCTCACGCAGATCCGCGGGGTCAGGGTACAAAAATTCAGGGGATTTGCAACATTTCTGAAATTCGGTGCCACCCCTCACGCAGATCCGCGAGGTCAGGGTCCAAAAACACACAGGGATTTGCTACATTTCTGAAATTCGGTGCCACCCCTCACGCACATCCGCGGGGTCAGGGTCCAAAAACACACGGGATTTGCCACATTTCTGAAATTCGGTGCCACCACTCACGCAGATCCGCGGGGTCAGGGTCCAACAACACATAGGGATTTGCTACATTTCTGAAATTCGGTGCCACCACTCACGCAGATCCGCGGGGTCAGGGTCCAAAAACACACGGGATTTGCCACATTTCTGAAATTCGGTGCCACCCCTCACGCAGATCCGCGGGGTCAGGGTCCAAAAACACACAGGGATTTGCTACATTTCTGAAATTCGGTGCCACCCCTCACGCACATCCGCGGGGTCAGGGTCCAAAAACACACGGGATTTGCACATTTCTGAAATTCGGTGCCACCCCTCACGCAGATCCGCGGCGTCAGGGTCCAAAAACACAGGGGATTTGCCACATTTCTGAAATTCGGTGCCACCCCTTACGCAGATCCGCGGGGTCAGGGTCCAAAAACACAGGGGATTTGCCACATTTCTGAAATTCGGTGCCACCCTTCACGCACATCCATCGCAAGGCGTGGTAACCCAAACTGCGAGAACTCCCTCGGCCCTTTAATCGCAAGGTGTGGTAACCAAGCCCGTAAACCATACACGTCTTACCAATCGCCAGGTGTGGTAACCCCTCTTGTGATCAGTTGGTTTTGCTGATTGCGAATCGGCTTCGCATGAAGTTTCGATACTGCTTCACAACAGCGCCAAGGCCTCATGACTTAGCTCTTCCATGGCCCATTCTTCGAGAGAGGGGGCCGGCGGCAGGGGGCGAAGCCCTTACGGATAACTAAATAAATAAATAAATGAATATAGATATATAACTATACATTTACATACGTACACACGGGATTTGCTAATAGTACTCCTTCTTGTGCCACTTGCTTCTCCTGTCAACTTCTCCTGCACCTTCCGCTCCCACTCCCTTCTGCTCTACCACCCTCATCATTCTCCTCATGATCAGCCTCTTCAACCTGATCAAGATCTGGTCACAACCCAGATATATCTACGCCTGTTGCTTATCATCTGTCCTCGTCACCCTGTTACTACTGCGCCTCGTCCTCCTCCTCTGTCTCCTCCTCCGCCCTGTTCCTGCCTTTGCGCCAGCTGTTCCGCGCACAACGCGGGAAGCAGCAACCATGTGCTGGCGGCGAGCCCAGGGGGGCGGCCTTTGCAGGGTGCCCCCGGATCTTTTCCACGCTTCCTGCAAAGCGACGCGCACGCTCTGAAATGCCCGGCGCACGCCAAGAATGAACCCCGCACTCTGGCCAGGCTGTGCTGGCACAGGGCGCGGGCAACACGACCGATCTTTAATCGGGCCAGGTGATTGCCAACCTTTAGCTGGAATCGGGTTTAGAATGCCCTCGTCATGCAACAGCACCAGACCCCCTCGCCAGATGCCCGACCAGAAGATTCAGACCCCCAATGTTGGAAGAGCCTGCTCTCCGCCCGTGGCGCCGGCGTGCCCACCAGACGGCGCCCTCACCAACCTGGCCCACCGAAGCCGCCGCCATAGCCAGGCCCGCCGCCATACCCCCCGCCATAGCCGGGCCTGCCGCCGTAGCCGTCCATCATCTGCTCGAGCTCGTACCCAGCGGCTGCGCCAGCCAGACCAGCCATGCCCATCTGGGCGCCGCTCCACTCGCCGTCGGGACCCGGGTCGAACATGCAGCCGCACAGCTGCTTGGCGCAGCAGGCCAGCAGACACAGGCACCCACAGGACACCACCAGGACGGCGACGACCATCGTGCCCAGCGGGCCCGCGCCTACCGCGGAGTGGAAGCCCTCTGCCTGCTCCGGCTCCGTGCCCATGGCCTGGACGCTCGCTGGCACCGGCTCCGGCGCGGCCAGCGGGACGCACCCGCCGGGCGGGCGGCAGGCCGTGCCCGCGGGGCAGCACAGCTCCGCCGTGGCCACGCAGCACTGCGACTGCAACTGCTGGCTGCTCTGCCAGGCCTCGGCCTCGGAGATGGCGTCGCTGATGGTCAGCGTGGTGAGGTTCAGCGTCGCCGACTGATTCGACGGGCTGCCGGAATGCGCCGGGGCCACCTGCAGGCCCAGCGCGAGGATCAGGCTCAACAGCGCGCGCGGTCGGAGCGGCATCGCGGCGCCTGCCTGGGCAAGCGAACTGCCACGACGAGGCCAGGGAGCGCGAAGGCAAAAAAAGGCCTGAGCCGAAGTGTCTACGAGGTGCCTTGGAAGGTGCCGGGCCGCACGGCCTCAGGAGGAGCCAGTCCCCTCTTGGACTCTGAGAAGAACCCCGCCAATCGCCCTGCCCCCTCGTGCCCGCGCCGCCGGAATCAAAAGACCATGGCCAATCCATGCCCCAGATCAGCTCAGCCCCGTGAGCTTGCCTTCATAGGTCCCAGGTGCCTCGAGCTCGGGCGCCAGCCAGCCAACGTCCAGAGCCGCGGGCCTGCGTGATCTGGTCGATTGGCGGCGAGCGAGGGGGGGGGAAAGTGCGAAGGGGCGGGCCCTCTCAGAAGTCTCGGAAGCCTCGGCCCGGGTCAATCCAAACCCGGGCCAGTCGGGCCTTGCAGAATCTGGCAATATCCTGCAGGATCCTGCATCCAAGCCTGGGTCGGTGCAGTCCTGGCCCTGCAGGATCCTAACCAAGATCCGGCGTTCTGAATGACCCCCGTTTGTGCTGACCCCCGCCTCTTGAGCCCAGAGTTAGGTCGGATATGTCCTCCTACAAGCGGATTTTGGGAGAAAACTTAAAACATAGTAAAAACATACTCCAACATGATCAAACATTGTAACATGGTCACAAGAAATAGACCCCATAATATTATTTGACTATGTTTGAATACTCCTCCTGTAGAGGGACGTGCCCGACTTCAGCCCACAACACCGTCTGATGGGCCTGGTTTCCACCACCACCACCACCACCACCAGAAAATGGACGGGGGAAGGAGGAGGAGGACGAGGAGGAGCACGAAGAGGAGGAGGAGGAGCAGGAGGAGGAAGGACCCCCTCCCCTCCAACTTCTGGTGGTGGTGGAGAACAGGCCCACAGCTCCGTCCTCCCCGTGGCCCCCGCGCACGGCCGTGGAGGAGAAGCCCGCGCGGCCCTCTCGGCATCGGCGCAGGCCCCCCCCCCCTGGAGGCGGGGAGCGGGTCTCGGGCGCGGCGGCGCAGGAAGGCACCGCCAGGCTGGCAGGAGAACCGAGACAATCGAATCGACGAGTCGGGTCGGCGATCGAAGCGAATCGGATCGGCGGAAAAATCGGCTGCTGAGTCGGGCGTCGGAAAGTTCTCCTGCGGAAAATCGGAATCGGCATCGGTCTTGCCGAGGTGGGAGGCAAGGCCCCCGCGTAAGTTGGCACCAGAGCGCCAGCTGCATGTGAATCGTTGCAAAAAAGACCCTCCGCCCTCCTCCTCCGCCCTCCTCCTCCTCCTCCTCCTTCTTCTCCTCCTCCTCCTCCGCCTCCTCCTCCTCCTCCTCTTCCTCCTCCTCCTCCTCCTCCTCCTCAAGCTCCTCCTCCTCCTCCTCCTCCTCAACCTCCGCCTCCTCGTCCCTCCTCCCCCTCCTCCTCCTCCGCCCTCCTCCTCCTCCTCCTCCTCCCCCGCCTCGCCTCCTCCCCTCCTCCTCCTCCTCCTCCTCCTCCTCCTCCTCACCACCATCACCATCACCATCACCATCACCACATCATCATCATCATCATCATCATCATCATCATCATCATCATCATCATCATCATCATCATCATCATCACCATCATCATCATCATCTCCTCCTCCTCCGCCTCCTCTTCCTCCTCTTCCTCCTCTCCTCCTCCCTCCTCCTCGTCAAGCTCCTCCTCCTCCTCCTCCACCTCCGCCTCCTCGTCCTCCTCCTCCTCTCCTCCAACTCCGCCGCCCCCGCTTCCGCCTCCGCCTCCTCCTCCTCCTCCTCCTCTCCTCTCCTCCTCCGCCTCCTCCTCCTCCTCTCCTCCTCCTCCTCCTCCTTCTCCGCCCCCGTCTGCGCCTCCTCCTCCTCCTCCTCCTCCTCCTCCTCCTCCTCCTCCTCCTCCCCTCCCCCTCCTCCTCCTCCTCCCCTCTCCTCCTCCTTCGCACTCCTCCTTCTTCTCCTCCTCCTCCTCCTTTTCCTCCTCCTTCTTCTCCGCCTCCGCCTCCGCCTCCTCCTCCTCCTCCGACTCCTCCTCCCAGTCCTCCTTTTATTATTAGTCTTATTCGTAGTATTCCCTTTATTAGTGTTCGTAGTTATTATTATCATTATTATTAATATTATTATTATTTTTGTTTTAAAGTTATTATTATTAGTATTATTATTATTATTATTGTTAGTGTTATTGTTATTATTAGTGTTATTATTAGTATTATCATTATTAGTATTATTAGTAGTATTACTATTGTTATTATTGTTATTATTATTAATATTATCATTAGTATTATTATTCATATTATTATTATTAATAATACGCTTATTATTATTAGCACTCGTATTATTAGTCGTCATATTCTTATTGCTTTCATAATAATAGTAGTACCATCATGACTCATCTTATCATTGTTAGTATTTTCCTTACAAATGCTAACATCATTATAGTAATACGATTCGCCTTCTTCTTATTTTGAATATTCGTCGCTCTCTCAGTCTCCTATAGTTAGTATCATTCCTCCTCCTCCCCTACGACGCCTCAAACATGTGCCTCCTCGGTTCGGTGGCCCCCGCGCGCGGTCGGTGCGCGCTTCAGGGTGCCCATGTAGATGCGGTCGGTGCTGTTCTCCCAGGCCTTCGCCACCAGCGGCCACAGCCGGGTCCTCTGCGCAGCGAGGGGCGGCCGCCGCCCCCCCCTGGCGCGCCGCCCCCGCGGCGCACCCCCCCCTCCCCCTCCTCGCGGAGCGCAGCTAGGCGGCGCGCATGGGTGGTAGGGGGAGGGGGGGGGGAAGGCTTCTTAGGAGGAGGCTGCTGCTTGGACTTTTTGTGAAGGGGTGTCGCAAGGCCGAGGCGCACTGGATATGGATAAAATCTGACCTTGTGGGGTATCCAGTGCGCCTCCGGCTTCTGGGGAAGAGAGCCCAACACTCCAAGACGCACTGGATGTAGATATCACTATTGCCCGCAGAGGGAGGGGAAGGCTTCTTAGAAGGAGGCTGCCTCTTAGAGGGCGCCGGCCCTGAATCTGTAGCAAAGGCCCGCGCCTCCCGAGAAGCAGGGGTGCTGCTAAAAAACCTTCCCCCCTCTCCCGGCCCCCCCCCCCCCCGTTGCGCGTGGGCGAGCAACGGCGCGCTCGGGAAGGAGTCTGCGCCGCTGCCCGAGGCCTCCTGCGGCCTGCCGGGGGCGGGCGGCGGGATCGACTGCAGTCGGCATCGAGTCCGGAAACAAATCGCACCGAAGCGATCGGTTTTATCTGAAGGGGCCCTGGGGCACACAAATAAATACACACAGATAAAACGATTCCCCATATTTTTCCATATTTTCGGGGCTTTTGTCTTCACCCCCACTTCCCATATTTTCAAATATTTTCCAAGAAATCGACGATTAATTGTGTCTGTGTGTTTTTCCCCTCCTCATAATCGGCACGAAGACGAACTGAAGCGGAGCGGCTGCGGATGCGCAAGAACGCCGCCGTGCAGACCTCGGCACGCAACGGCTCGTCGGCACAAAAAATCGGCTCGGGCCGGCCAGGATCGAAGTCGCTCCTGGGACTCTACTGGGGGCCGAAGCCTGGGAATGCCAGTATCCGAGACCCCGACCGCGCGGGACCTGCCCGGGACTTGCGTCAGGTCGGGCGTGTCCTCCTACACGCGGATTTTGGATGACAAATACATTACCCCAGTGCGACCCTAGCTAGAAGTTGGAGCCCCTAGGAAAGCAGCATTAGTTGCTATGCTATGCAATGCTATGCTATGCCATGCAATGCTGCGCTATGCTATGCTATGATATGTTATGTTATGATGCACTATGCTATGCTATGCTGGGCTATGCTATGATGTGCTGTGCTGCGCTATGCTATGCTACGCTATGCTATGCTGTGCTATGCTATGCTAAAGCCCAGCGAAGCTAAGATGAAGGTAAGCTAAGCTAATATAAACCTGAGCTAATATGAAGCTAAGCTAAGCTACGATGAAATAAGGTGAGCTAATTCGAGATAAGCAACGCTAAGCGAAGGGGACGTAACTGGGGGAACCGCGGGGCGTATGCAGGGGGAACCGCCCGGGGCGGGGTCCACTGCCCGGCCCCTGTAAGCTCAGAGAGTAAGAGCCCTTCTAGGCAGAGCCTAGGTAGGGAAACAAGTCAACAAATAATCAACAAAAGACAAGAAATAGTTGGAACATCGTCCCCACACTATGTTTTGACCACGTTTGACTATGCCTCCTGTCGAGGGACACGCCCGACGTAAGACTTGCGAGCAGCAAGACGAGGAGAGAGGGGCGCGCAAACATCGATTAACGATCCATGGGTTTGGCGCGCGGTCGCCAAATCCATGGATCGGGGGAAGTGCCCTCCCCCGAATGCGGCCGGTGCCGCCTGACTCGGCGGCATCCGATGCGATTTCCGATGGAAACGGGACTCGTCGCTAATCCACGCCCGCTTGATCCATGTTTGCGATCGCCTGATTTTGTTGACTATGTTTGACTATGCCTCCTGTCGAGGGACGCGCCCGACGTAAGGCTTGCGAGCAGCAGGACGAGGACAAAGGGGAGATCGGGGGCGTGCAACCATAGATTAGCGATCCATGGACTTGGCGCGCGGTCGCCACATCCATGGATCGGGGGAGGAGGAGGAGAAAGGCAAGGAGGAGGAGGAGGAGGAGGAGGAGGAGGGCGGAGGAGGGAGGAGGAGGAGGGAGGAGGGGAGCAGGAAGAGGAGGAGGAGGAGGAAAGGAGGGGGGGGAGAAGGTGGACGAGGAGGGAGTCAGGAGGAGGAGGAATTGGATTGGAATGCCCTCGAAAGGGGGAGTGCACAGCACTAAAGCCGCGAGACACTGCGGCCGGCGGGCGCCCGCGCGCGGGCGCGCGGCGGGCGCGCGGCCGGCCGCGGGGCACTCACGGCGCGGGCGGCGCACGGCGCACGCGGGCCCCCCGCGAGCGGGCAGCATGGGAATAGCTGGCCAGCTCCCCCCCCCACGTTCTGTCGGCCGGAAACGGCCCAGCCGGAAACGCCCGGCAGCCGACAGAACGGGGGGGGGACCAGACCAAGCCAAACCCGCGCCACCCACCCCTGGGGCCCAACCCGCACGACACGACGCGACACGACGGGGGGGCGAAACGGACGACACGACACGAACGACACGACACGGACGAACGACACGACAGAGACGAGCCGCCGGTCCCGCCCCAAGGCGGCGAGCGCTGGGGGGGAAACCAGCACCGCCCTGGGGGAGGCCCCGGGACCTGGCGACCCCCCCGGGGGAAGGAAACCGCACTTTGGCGGCGTCCCCCGGGGTGCGGGGGCTTTTCGCCCCTCGGGCCCGGCGCTCCCCGCCTGCGCCAGGGGGACCCTAGGGTCCCGACCCCTCCCCTACGGGAGGGGCCCCCTCGGGGCTCAGGAGGAGGAGGAAGAGGAGGGAGGAGGAGAGGAGGAGGAGGAGGAGGAGGAGGAGGAGGAGGAGGAAGAGGAGAAGGAGGAGGAGGAGGAGGAGGAGTCCTCCTGCTCCTGCAGGAGTCATCGCTGCTTGAGGAGGAGGAGGAGGAAGAGGAGGAGAAGGAGGAGGAGGAGGAGACTTCCTCCACCTCCAGCAGCGATGACGTCCGTCCCAGGCGACCAGCGACAAAGACGAAGAGGCCGACGCCGCCGTCGCCGCCGCCGCCACCTCCGCCGCCGCCGCCGACAACGACGATGACGACGACGACGACGTCCCCCGACGCCCACGTCGGATACGAAGACGATTCCGAAGACGACGACCCATGGCCGCAGGAGACGGGCTGCGCACAGACAGACCCCCCAGGTAGCCCCAGCTGGCCTCAACAAGCCCCCCGAGTAGTCTGGGCCGTTCTCAACACCCTGGCGCCGCCTCTGGCGGCGCTCCGCGTTCCAGGGTTGAGGAGCTGAGACCGCCCCGCACTACTCGGGCAGCCTGTTGAGACGAGCTGGAACTGCGCGGGGGGCCTCTTGAGGCCAGCCGGGACTACCTGGGAGGGCTGTCTGCGCGCAGCCTGTAGCCTCATCAGAGGGCGTGCTCCAGGCGGCGAAGGTGTCGTCGTCGATCTTCATAAAGAGCTGCTGCTGGGAGTACACCGGCGACTCGCTGTAGGTCTGCATGGCGGCCCTGGCGCCGGCGCGGGGCAAGCCGAGTCTCGGCGGCGCCGCGCAGGGGATGGGCTTCCTTGCTCGTTCTGGGAGCCTTCATGCGGCGATGCTGCGTCGAATGCTCGTCGCTTTGAGGTCAACTTGAGTCGAGCTGGAGCCGAACTGAAGTCGAGCCTGACTCGAACACATACGATAGGTGGGCCCCTCAGGTAAGCATCTGTTAGCCAACGTGGGTCCTAAATAGTGAGGCATTGCCCCGTGGAGGTGCAAGCTATGCGGTGGAAGCAATGTGGTGAAAGGTGTCGTGCAACTAAGCTACGTGGTGTGAACTGCGAAGATGGACACTGCGCGGTGTAGAACACGGGCTGTAAGCAGCGTCGTTCAAACGTTGCGGCCTGAGCTGGAGGTGCAGGCTACGGGGGGTGGGTTCGCTATGCGATGCAAGCTGCGTTGTGGAAACTACGCGGTGTAAAATACGTGGGGCGCCACGAGGCAAACGGGCGGCAACGCGACGCAACCTCGGGCGACAACGGGCGGCAACGTGTCGAGTCCTCGGCATGGCCAAATAGCGCACGCGGCGGCGACGACGCTGCAACGAGGCGACAACGGGCGGCAAAGTTGCGAGTCCTCGGCATAGCGCCACAAGCGGCAACGGGCGAGAACTTGGCGAATCATTGACATACCCCCATAGGCGACTACGCGCGGTAACACGCGTCATCGTGGCGAATTTTCGGCATGCCCCTAGAAGCGGCAGCGGGCGGCAACGCGGCGGATCCTCGGCCTGCCCATCCGATTCCTGATTCACCCAACCATGATCCCCCAAAAACACAACAAAAATCGGACACCAACATTCGGTCTCAGGGTGACTCACCCAACAAATCTGAACTCTTCTCGGGAAAAACAGAAATCTGGGCGTCGGTGGTTTCAGAGTGTTTCCTCTTCCACCCCTCCCTCTTCCCCTTCGGACATGGGTTCGCCCCTCTCCCATTCACCCCCTCCCCTGGACCTGGACGGGGCCAGTCGCGGGTCGTTGGACCGTCCAAAACGGCATCGGCGAGGAAACCAGAATCATCGGTTTTACTAGGGGCTTGGATAATGAAGAAGGCGAATTAGAACCCTCCTTTTGATCGATGTCCTCCAAGATGGTCCTAAGAAGCGTCCAGAGGCCCCAACTGGCCCCAAAATGGCCCCATGATGGCCCCAAGATGGCCCAAAAGAGGCCCCCAAGGGGACCCAATAGCCCAAGAGGCCCCACAGAAACACCCAAGACGCCCAAGAGCCCCCCAGGACCGCCGAGAGACCCCCACAACGTCCCAAGAGGCTCCAAGGAACGCCCAAACAGATTTCCCAAGAGGCTCCCAAAAAAGGCGTCCAAGTGACCTCTGGTTCGTTTGCTTCCTCCTCCTCCCGCCTCCTCCTTCTCTTCCTCCTCCTCCTCCTCCTCCTCCTCCCCATCATCATCATCTTCATCATCTTCATCATCATCATCATAATCATCACCATCATCACCACCACCATCACCATCACCATCACCATCATCATCATCGTCATCATCGTCGTCGTCATCATCATCATCATCATCATCATCATCATCATCATCATCATCATCGTCATATTCATCTTCTTTCTCCTCACTCCTCATCCATCCATCCATCCATCCATCCATCCTGCGCGTTCTCCTCCTCCCTCCTTCGCACGGTTCGGCCGTCCACCTCTCTGCCCCCGCACATCCGTGATCACCTCCACTCGATTGGACATCGTTTCTGGATGGGCTGGTGAAGATCTTGTTTGGTACGCGGGCGCGCGAAGCGGGTCGAAAGCCGTGCAAGCAGGGGCAGGCTGTGCCACCAGCTGGTGGGTATACTGTTCTGGTGCGCGGGCGCGCGAAACAAGTCGAACGCTGGGCTAGCGGGGGCAGACTATGCCACCCTGGTGGGGATACTTTTTGGTCCGCGGGCGCGCGAAACGAGTCCAACGCCGAGCCTGCTAAGGCGGGCCGCGCCGGTAGCGGAAGGAAAAACAGTGAGCGACGGCACGCTAGAGGCCGCGAAACCGACCAGGCGGTAAGCAGCAGAAGAGCGTGCCGAACACGAAGACCTTGTACACGAGCGTGGCCACAGAGTGCCCGAAGAGCATGAGAGCAAACACGTCGTGACTGCTGGTGAGGATACGCGAAACGTCTAGAATTAATCAGGAGGGCGGCGCCGGGCACGCCTCTGGACAACTGTGCGTGTGCCGTGCGCGGTCTTGGCCGCTCTCGCTCTCTCACTCTCTCTCGCCCGAGCAGATGCCGTCGTCGCGTCCTTCTTCCTGCTGCTGCTCTCCTTCGTGCGCTCATGCTGCGAGCGCACTCTTTAGTCGCGGCCATAGCGCGTGTTACCGGGGGGGAGGGGAGGGGGGGGGACGGGAGGGGGCATAACGTAGCGCCCACCCCCACCTCCCAAAGACTGTGGTGCCAGACGCATTGCGGCAGCCTCGGGGGCGCTCTGGAGGGGGGAGCGCTACGTTATGAGATGGGGTAGGGGGGGTTGGGGACACAACGCGCGTTATGGCCCAAAATGTGGGGAAAAAACACCCTCTTTCGCTGATGCTGGTTTGCTTACATGCTTACATCTTGTCGCCGCGGGTACTCGTCTTTGCAATATCCAACCGTTACATCGATGGAGGGCGGTGAATTTTCAATGTTGGGATCTCACCTGAGACTTCCTCGACTGCTACGGCAACAAATATATGGAACTGTCCGACCGATACACGGCTGGAGGGCACCCACTCAAAGTGAGGCTCCCGTCTCTCATTCGAGACTTCGCTGTAACCCAACCTGCCCTTTAGGGCGTAGGTCAGTGAGCGCCATTCGTTCTGTAGTTCATTTGGTAACATGTGATTGTGACATGTGTATATATAGAAGATACATATGTACATATCTGTATATATATATATATAGATATACATATATAAATACATGTGTATGTATTCAACCTCCTTCCTCCCCTTCGGGGAAAGGTTTACCGCTTCCCATAATTACCCCAGCGCCCCAGGTCTGGTGTGGGGTGGGGGGGCTTCGTCAGAGCGTCAGAGATGGCGCAAGATGGCTCCAGGTTGCCTCAGATATGGCTCGGCCCAAGATTGCTCAGGATGAGTTCTAACACGCTCCGAAAGGTCCCAGGACCGCCCCCAAGACAGGCCCCAGTGGCCTTAGAGCCTCCCCACGCCCCGAGAAAGGCCGAACTCCGTTCAAAACCTGCGGACCATCAATGATGATACCTCTCGGTCCGACCGTGTAGGTATTCGGTTTGCCGCAGGCGCTCTTAGTCTGAAATGCCAGGCGGCCAACGAGAGCGGCACATCCTGGATCAGCGCACCCAGCAGCCGCCTCAGAGGAGAAGCGGCCGATCCTCCCTGACCGTCTGGTGCGAAAGCTGTGCCAGCGCATCTGGCCGCGGCGACGAGGGAGGCCACCGCAGGACATCGTAATAAAAAATAGCTCACCGTCTGTGATCGCCGGATAATGCCATCGCTCGGACGTCCATTCCCCATGCATTTTTCGACTTCGTGCTCGTTTTCTTGGCTCGGTGATCCAGGATGCTCCTCGATGGTCCCCGCCGAGAAAAAATCCACACGTCCGTGCGATGCCAGGACCGTCTGTGATCGCCGAGTGTACCACAGGCCAGGCGCGGGCGCGCAGCCCGCGAGCGGGGCGGGGGGCAGGCGCGCAGTGTCTTCTTGGTCAGCCGGCCCTGGCCGTAGCCCTCGCTGCAGTTCATGATCATCAGGTCACCGTACCTAGCAGTGGACACACAGTAGGAGCTCGACCACAAGAAACCTTCCACAAGAAACCAAACCCTCCGTCAGGAGATCAGGCACCAGCGGTGCCTCTGGTCAGGAGGTCGGGCACCAGCGGACATCAGCAGACATCCAAGCTAATGTTCATGTGCCGCCCTGGGCGACGCTTACTGGTGGGGGCGATAAAGAGGGGGGGGAGAAAGGCGCACTTGTCGGGCCTGCATGCCCCATTCTGGGTCTTACAGGGCTCCTGTAGTGGCTCTAAAAGGTCCTTTTCTGCAGCCCTCCCTGCCCCCCCTGTCCTTCCACGAGAAACCCAACCCTGAAACCCCAGGACGTCCATCGATTTCTGGCGTGGGAGCGTCACGCGTGCCATGGCAGAACCATCGAAACCCAAGAAACCCAGGGCACCCTGCAGGCAAGCAGGGTGTTTCTTGGCATGGGTTTCCACTGTCCCAGGAGCAGCGGACATGCGCAAATCAGAAGCGCAAACCATCCGCAGGAGCTGTGGCCCCCAGGGACATGCACGAAACACGCAAAGCATGCCGAAGCGTCACGGCAAGCAGCATCGCTGCCAAGACAGCGTACCATCCGAGCCGGTGATATTGTCGCGAGGGTCGCGGGGACTAATTAGGGGCAAAGTGGGGATGGACAGGACCGCCTTTAGGAGAACGTGGTTTAGTGAACACGACCTCCGGCCCAAACCTGGCGGGCGCAAGCCTGGAGAATGACGGCCGCGGCGCCCTCTCGAGAACCGAACACGGACAGTTCACCAAGCGACGTGCCAGGGTGGGGGTCCGGGCCCCGAACAAGAACACCCAGCGACCGTCTACAACAGCAGCCCCCCGCCCCCCGCCCCCCGCCCCCGTCCTCCTCCTCCTCCCCCTCCTCCTCCTCCTCCTCCTCCTCCTCCTCCTCCTCCTCCTCCTCCTCCTCCTGCTCCCTCTCCCTCCTCCCTCCTCCCTCCTCCCTCCTCCCTCTTCCCTCCTCCCTCCGCCCTCCGCCCTCCTCCCTCCGCCCTCCGCCCTCTTCCCCCCGTCGTTTTCGGGCGCCACCACTCGGGCCTCCGACGGCCCTCCGGGGCGGCCTGGGCACCATGGAGCCGCCCTCGGCGAGGCGCGGTGGCCGGAGAGCATCCCGAGGCTGGCAAGCCGACAAGAACCCACGAAAGTGTCGACGCTCGCTTTGGACGCCCGAAATGGGTACGGAAAGAATGGGTACAATGCCCAACAACAAATGTTGTTATTGGGCGGCTCTCTGTCTCGAACGGACACAGGCCGCGGCGGCGCGGACAGCGAATCCTGTTCAAAACGAACAAGATCCGCTGTTGGGCATCGTACCCATTCTTTCCGTGCACATTTCGGGAGTGCCGACTCACTCCCTCCGCACCGCGAGCCCCGGGACATAGAGGAGGGCAGATGTGGCCTCCGAGGAGCTCGGGGCACCACGCCGCGCGGGGGGCCGCCGCGGTGGCTCGGACAGCACGTCGCACGGGTCTTCTGCTTCGCTCGTGCGGGGAGCCCTGGCGAGGAGGCGTGGCAGACAGGCCCCGAGGCAGGGCCGAGAGGTCTGGGGGGCCCACGTCACGAACAGAGCGCGACGCCAGATGCATGGGGCGAGGAAGTGAGGGAGCAGGAGGGAAGGCAGGACAGACGAGGACAAGGGCGAGGACGAGCCAAGACGAGCGAGGACGAGGAAGAGGCAAGATACGACGAGCGAGGAGAGGAGGGCTGAGGACGATGGCGAAGAAGCGAAGCACGACGAGCGCTAGAGCCCTGCGCGCTCCGCCAGGGAGCGCCCGCCCGCGCCCATCGGGGCAGCGCGCGCAGAGGTCGCTGCCCGGGCGGAGAAAGAAAAGTGCCGAAGAGGACGAGGAGGACTATGCCAAGGGGCGCTACAGTCAGACTCGGGCCAGAAGTACCTCCTTCCAGAGCACGAGGCCCTCCGTCGGCGAAAACACAGACCAGAACGTCCAAGGTCCCCAACCCCCCGCATGCACAAAAACATCTCCAACAAGCACGAAGAACACTACAGGGTACTCTCCCCGAGCCGACCTCGACCTTATACCTCGGTCCGACGGTAGAAGAACACCAACAGCACAGAACCGCGAAGTTCCAGAGGTCCGCGCGGATGCGTTGGATCGGCGCTGGTGCCCCCCACTGGTGGCGCCTCCGCCGCCGCCCCCTTGCGCGCCTCGGTGGCGCCGCTGTAGGGGGGAGGGGCCAGCGTTCCAGAAAAGTATCGAAACAATGTCGAACGAGTATCGCCTCCCAGGGCCCGACACGTGAAACCCTATTTTTTGAATTTTCGGGGTGCTCGAGATGTTTTCTGGTGATCAAGGCTGAAGTAGGCCGGAGCATCAGAAGGCCAGCGCTGATCGTAGAAATCCGCGCGGAGCTCTGAAGATTCAGGCGTCTGTCAATTACAGACTCCTGTAATGCACTACAGTAATGCATTGGAGGCCAGCGCACATGAACCTTTCAACAAAATCCAACCCCAAGACCCCAAGGCGTCCCTTGCCTTTTGCGGTGGGAGCGTCACGCTTTTTCCACGGCAGAACCATCGAGACCGAAGACACCCGGGGCACCGTGGAGGCAAGCATGGCGTCTCTTGGTCTGGGTCTCCACTGCAATCATTGGTGTCCGTTCCATGGGAGCCTGCGTGGCCCCCGACACTGTCCAATTTGGGCCTGATTTGGACCAGATTTGGGACAAATTTGGACCGGATTTGGACCAGACTTGGACTGGATTCGTGGGGGCTAGGAGAACGAGGAGGGGGAGGGGGAACAGGAGGGGAGAGGAGGAGCAGGAGGCTGGGCCAAATGCAAGAAAAGCTGACTTCAATGTCGCCGCCCAAGGCTCCCATGAACAGACATCGAGTGCAATCATGTGTCATTCGAGGCGCGCCCGGACCTCTCCCAGAGTGCGCTCTGACCAGGGCCTCGGAGCGAGTCCCGCCGCGGCAACGCCGAGAGCCTCCCGGGAAGCCCGAAGTTACCAGCCTCAAACTTATCCCTATCCCTATAAGGTTGACACGCCAAAAGGCGACGACAGTCTTAGGGATGCGCCCTCAAAAAATAAGGGAATCCCTAAGATCGGCATCGTGATGAGGAGATGCCCAGCATAGGGATAGGGATATGTTCCAGGCTGGTAACAAAGAGGCGAAGGCGAGGAAGGGCAGCGGCATCAGCACCTCTGCATCCGCCGAGCTGCTTCGCGGGCCCCCCCCCCCCCCCCCCCCCCCCCCCCCTAGGGGGCCACATGCGAGCCCTGCCCCTACCCCCCACGATTTCTGAGGGGGCGGGTGGGTTTCGCGTCGTTCGGGAGCTCCCGAGCGAAGTGAGCCCCACCCTCCCCCTCAGAAATCGCGGGGGGTAGGGGGTCGGGTTCGCATGTGGCCCCCTTCCACCCCCCGGTGGGCGCGTCTCGTTCTCTGCCTGCAGCCCCGCGCCCAGCCCGTCGTCCTCGCGCTCGCACAGGGCGAAGCGCGTGAGGAGCTTGCCCTGGGCGGCCGGGGCTCTGACGGAGGGCCTCGGGCGGGGCCGCCCCGAGATCCTGGCGATGCCATTGCAAAACTGAAGGGGCCCCAGGACACACAAATGAATACACACAAATAGAAGTATTCCCTATATTTTCCCCTATTTTCTGGGTTTTTGTCTTCCCCCCACTTCCTGTATTTTCCCATATTTTCTGGGGAATCGACGATTAATTGCGTCTGTGTGTTTTTCCCTCCTGAAAAACGCACGCCGTGGGTTGTCGTCCACGCTCGAGCTCCAGGAGCATGGCGTATGTATCCGGCTTGGCAACTGGGGAAACAAACGTGCCCTCTGGGCAAATTTCGTGATGTCTCGCGATGCTGCAATTTTCGGAACGTCGACTCTCAGCGGGGGCACGAGAGCAGACGAGGATCTATGATCTGCGCGTACGGCAAGCGGTATCTGATAAACATTTCCGCGATATGGGGTTCCTGTCCCAGGGCGGCTGAGAAATTTACGCCTTACGGTGGCAACTGCGGATATAATATTCCCAGCCGCCCTGGGACACGCACCCCCGATCGCGGAACGGGCCCCACGCGAGATGGCACAGCGACCTTGCGCGGTGGCTCAAGCGACCGCCAACGCGGTACGCTACATCGGAGACTACAGCGCTTGTGCGCGACCTTGTGCGGGCAACGTCTGCGCGAATTTCCTGCGCCGCCCAACATCACGTATATCACTTTTCGCTCAGAGCCCATGGTCGGCGCTCCATGGCGCTGTTCGACGGTCTTTGGGGAGCATCCGCGTGCGATGGTACGGTGACTGCGCTCAGCGAGAATCCCATGGCCGAGCACCGTACCTTAGTCCTGCATTTCTGGAAACGTGATACCGCCTGCGCCCGTCTCAGGGGGCCTGGTGGGGATGGCTGGGAGCTGCAAACGGCACGGGGATCTCCCCCCAACACACACACACACACACGCACGCACGCACGCACGCACACACACACACACACACACACACGCCTCCCCCCCCCCACACACACACACCAACACACACACTTATACACACGCACGCACGCACGCACGCACACACACACACACACACACACACACACACGCACACCCACACACACACACACACGCACGCACGCACGCTCGCACACACACACACACACGCAAACACACACACACACACACACACGCACACGCACACGCACACGCACACGCACACACACAGGAACGCAAACACCCAGGCAAACAAACACACACACACACTCACACGCGCACGCGCACACGAACACGCACGCACGCACGCACGCACGCACGCACGCACGCACGCACGCACGCACGCACGCACACACACGCACGCACACACACACACGCCAAGCGCACGCGCACGCGCACGCGCGCACGCGCGCACGCACGCGCACGCGAAGGCGCGCGCACGCGCACGCGCACACACACCACACGCACGCACACACACACAAACACACACACACACACCCACACGCACGCACGCACGCAGGCACGCAGCACACGCGCACGCATACATGCACACACGCACACACCTCCCCCCCCCCCACACACACACCAACACACACACTTATACACACGCCACGCACGCACGCACGCACACACACACACACCACACACACACACGCACACCCACGCACGCACGCACGCACGCACGCTCGCACGCACACACACACACACACGCAAACACACACACACACGCACACGCACACGCACACGCACACGCACACACAGGAACGCAAACACCCAGGCAAACAAACACACACACACTCACACGCGCACGCGCACACGAACACGCACGCACGCACGCACGCACGCACGCACGCACGCACGCCACGCACGCACACACACACGCACACACACACACACACGCAAGCGCACGCGCACGCGCACGCGCACGCACGCGCATGCGCACGCGCACGCGAAGGCGCACGCGCACGCGCACGCGCACACACACACACACACACACGCACGCACGCACACACACACAAACACACACACACACACCCACACGCACGCACGCACGCAGGCACGCACGCACACGCGCACGCATACATGCACACACGCACACTCGCACGCACGCACACACGCACACACGCGCACACGCGCACACGCGCACACGCGCACACGCGCGCACACGCGCGCACACGCACGCAGACGCACACGCACACGCAGACGCACACGCACACGCACACGCACACGCGCACGCACGCACGCACGCGCACGTACGCGCACACGCACACGCACACGCACACGCACACGCACACGCACACGCACACGCACGCGTACGCGCACGCGCACACGCACACGCACACGCACACACGCACACGCGCACACGCACACGCACACGCACACGCACGCGCACACGCGCACGCGCACGCGCACGCGCACGCGCCCGCGGACGCGCACGCGCACGCGCACGCGCACGCGCACATCCACACGCACGCACGCCTCCCCCCCTCCCCAACGCACACACACATACACACACGCGACGTCTCCCCAGCCACCGCCGCCCCGCGCGCGGCGGCAGCAGCGGCGAGAATGCCGGCCACGACGCCGCCGTCGCTGGTCCCCCGTGAAAAGCGGAATTGTCGACGCCGCAGCCGTCGCCGCCCCCGCCGCTGTCGCCGTCGCCGTCGCCGCCGCCGTCGTGGACGGTATCGCCGCCGCCTTCAGTGTCCTTGAACGCTATGCTAGCCCCAGCAGCCCCCGTCAGCGGCGACCGCCGCCAGTTCGCATCCCCCCCATGGATGGCAAGGTCTTATCTGGATCTGCGCCAGGTGCCCACTGCTGGCGCACGGCTGCGGAGGCTGTAGCAGGCTGGTTCCCGCGAAGGAAGTAACGCGCTGAGATCATCATCGCGACGAAGTAAGCCACCGAAGATGCAAACGTCCTCGAGAAACCTCTGTCGGACCCAGGGGATCGCCACTTCTGTCGTCGCAGATCGAGACGGCGCGGCCAAACATATAGCGACCACACCTTTGCAAACCGAGCTTTTCGCACATACCGTGGCATGCATGTACGACCGCCTCGAAGGTTAGCAAAGCCTCAATTGGAAATGTAGCCCTTTCCTCGATGGAATCCCCACCTCGCTCGAAGTCGGAACCTTCGTTCGCGTAGCTGCTGGGGCCTCCTCTTCCGGAAGATTCGAGAGGGCGCAACTGCCTCTCCAACGCCCGTCTTGCAACCGCATGCGCCCGTGGCCCAGACGCGCCCTGCCGCCATGGTCGCGACGATACTTGAAAGCCTTCGCCACCGACGCGCAAAAGATGGGCGCGCTGCCTGCGCCCATGTTCTCCGCCAGGCGCTGCACTCGCAGCTCCTCCTTCTTGATTCCGCTGCCGCTCGAGATGCCTGATGCACCTGATGGGGGGGCATGCCGACCCCCGCCCCAAATCTGGCGCGCGGATCCTGCGCGCAGCAATCGCGGCAACTCCTCCGATCGCGCTCTCCGGCGATTAGGGAGGCGATATTCGTCGGCGCTTCGTCGGCCGGGTAGAACGTCGCGCGGGCCGCGAGTCCAAGCGCCCCTCGCGCGTCGCATGAGCTTCAGCGACTGCCGCTTGGATCTGCAACCTGAATCCGCTGCCCTAAGAAGCCGCCCCCCCGTCGCCGGCATGCCTGGATGTTTTGCCCGCCAAGAAGATCAAGCTGCACGCCGCCGCCCCGCGCGGCTACGCGCCCACCATGCACGCCCGCCCGCCGGTCGCCGCCCTCCGTTGGAACCGCGCCCAGCTTCAGCAAGGCCAGCGGGCAGCGCCCCTCTTTTCCCGCGTCGACCAAACTCGCGTCGAATTACCCGGCCTGAACATGGCCCGCCCGGCCCCCTTCGCGCTGGCCCGCGCGGCGCCCGGGCGCTTCGTCTCAGCGCCTGGCCGCGCCCCCTGCCTGCTCCAAGTCCAACATGCAGCCGGCGTGGCCATCGAGCTGCGGCGGCCCCGTGCCCGGGCCAGTTGCCATGCCGTCGCCGACGTCCAGGTCGACCGTCGCTTCTCTATCCTTTTCGGCAAAACGCGACTGGCACTGGCAAGCCCCGACAATCTTCGGACTGCACTCTCCTCGCTGAGGACTGCTCCGGAGAACTTCCGGCCGCGGGATGATCCCGCCACTTGTGAAGCCCCCCCGCTGCCGCAAATGGCCTGCCCCGCCGACTCCGTCGCGCAGTCGCGCGGGCGCTTGAGCGGTGGCTGACGCCCTCCATTGGCGCCCACATGGCCCATCGGAAGATGCGCCTACGAAGCGCGTCGAAGATGCACCGGCGCACGCCGGTGGAAATCGTCGCTGGCTCGTTCGCTGCAACCAGCGCCAACGCAGAGGGCGGTCGCGGGCCCCCGGCGCAGCGCCGCGACGTCTCTGCGCGCGGGGGCCCGTCCAAGCGCCTGCAAGCGCCCGCGCGCCCGCGGCCCGAAGGCCCGCCGCCGCCGAAACCTCACTGCCATAGATCGACGACGAACTCCTCGATCTCCGAGGGCCATGACAAGCCGGCGCAGGCCGCTGCGCGTCGAGGGTAGGGCGTCTCCTCCAGGAAGCCGTCGCTGACCTCCTCGCATTCGGCCTGCGTCGCCTGGGAGTACTTGAATCGCAGTCGTCTCATCGCGTCTCCGGCCTCCACTGGACATTGCGTAAGTGGAGCGCCCGCGACCGCGGGCCGCCGGGCGCCTCCTCGGGCACGCAGCCCGCATCCACCGCCGCTGCCGGGGGTGAGTCTGTCGCGCCCACTGTCGCCACCTCTGGCTGAAGTCGCCCCCGTCCATGGGTCGCGCGCTGGCCTCGAGGGCGCCGACCAGCCCCGCGCCCCCGGGCCTGCGCCCCGCTGCCCGCGCCCCGCTCGCGCCCGCGCCTTGCAGGGCACGACGCGCGCGAGGGCTGCCTGACGCAGGCCGCCCCTTCCGCCGCCGCGCATCTGCCTGCGCCCTGCAATCGCCCCGCCGCCCTGCCCGACGCGACGCCGCGCTGGGCCGGCGCGGCGCGAGCATTGCCCCCTCTCCGCCCGCC